TTTCTGCCAAAATGTTAAGTCTCTATGAATATTTTTAACTGGATTACAACAAAAACGGAAAATTGAAGTTAATAAAAGTATTATTTTCGAAAATTTTCTGGTTTTCTTTTTTTTGGTTTGCTCAATTTTCAAAAAAACTACTGGGGAAATCAAAAACCAACTTTATTAATTACAAACTAGATTAAAAATTTGTTATAATTATGAAAATTACTTGGAATATCAAAAAGTAACTTACTTCTGAGCAACTAGATCCAAAATTCAACACAAATATTGTTTTGTCGGTTTTCTATTGGACTGATATTTTTAGTAAAAAACATAATTTACACAAATTAGAAACAATGAAATCGGCAACGCAACGGCATGACGTAAATATTTGCCGTTTTAGGTAACTATAATTTTATTTCCAGATTTTCCAAATCTTTTGAAAACCACTTGGAAAATCATAAAATGATCTGTCTAGTGCACCAACTAAATAAAATTGTCTTGCAGAATAAGTGCTACACTCGATCGAAGGAAATTTTCTTATCGGAAAGTTGTTCACAGACAGGAAAAAAACACTTACATCATAGTGAAACCAATAGATCCCTAGGTATACTCCGAATCTAAAAAGACTAATTTATTTAATTTTACCTATTTAAATTTGACTTAATTATCACGTTATCACTCATCATTTTTACTGTTAAATAGATCCCAGGGGTCTATTTTGCCTTGCAAGGGGTCGATGTCATAAACAAAAAACTGGAGGTACATAGGATGTAAATCAGGGTAATAAATGATATCAGAGAGGGTCTACAAATAACAGAAAAATTAGCAAGTGATCTACGGGAATAAAAGTAATTTAACATAATAAACCTACCAAATATTACTTCGGTTTCAATAAAGAACCGCCCATCCCTAATCTTAATATAATTCTCGAATATACACTAGTTATAGTAACTATATAAACTATTTATAAATATATAAACTAAATCTCTTAACTCACATTGTTAGAAAACCAAACAAAAAATAATAATGAACTCTTTTAATTAAAGTGATAATATTAAATTGGAGTATATTTTTTAAATACCTACCTAAATGTTTGTTTGGATATTTTATTTTAAGGTTCAAATACAAATAAACTGCCTGTGAATCGAGGAAATTATAATATTATACAGGTATTAAACAACGTCCAAATAATCAAAATTGTAAACTAACATCATAATATAAAATAAATAAGCATTTTGTTTGCGGAAATGTTTTACGTGTGATTAATATTAAAGGTTTAATTACGGTCTAAACTTAAAAAGGCAAAATAAATCAGTAGGTATGCGTACTTACACGGCGAGTCAATCCGATGCATCCACAGTTTAATAAATGTAAGGAAATTACAAAAAGTCAATAGTAATTAATAATATTATGACTTTATTTTAACGAATGATCTAATTACGGCCCATGTCACGGCAAAGAGTATGGTATTATAATATATTTATCATTTAAAAAGACTTGGAAGTTTAATTTAAACTATAATTATATATCCCATAAAATTATCTCCAAAACAATAAATCATACTCATACAGTTATGACTATATGATATATTTAAATGTATAAATTATTTGTCCTGAGTGTAAAAAAAGGTTATCTGCTGGATGGCTGAGTCCTAAGACAAAAACGCTATAATAAAATACACAAATTAAAATTCTTATAACCTTTAGAGGTTACAATAACAAATAATAAAATAATAATAATATTATTATTATAATTGTTATTACTATTATTATTATCATTACAATATATATTGGGTGTGGCCCAATTTAGATAATTCTCAGGTAGGTAACGGTTTACATATATAAATAACAACATATGAGATGAGTTTAGATATAAGACACATAGATTGAAAGTCAGAAAAACCATAAATTTAGTTAAAACAAAAAACTGATAGTCGACAACTATAAATTAACTACATTATAAAATCAACTCATAATCGCATTATATTTACTAGTTTATAATGTTTATAAATCACATTATCATTTATAGTTACTTCGTTATAAGTATTATACTGTAGTAGATAGCCGAAAATAAAGTATAAAATACATAATAAATTATTAAAATTTTAATCAAACTATTAATGTTGTACTCTAAAATACTTCGATTATTCTATAATAGCGCGTAGGTATTTTTTATTTTATCAACTAAATAAATACAATCGATTTAAATGTCATCCTCACAATTTTTAAACGTTGTGATAAAATATATGGTATTCATGCTGAAGGTTTATATAATTATAATATACATAAACAAGAACACAGCTGAAACCAATTTGCTGGGAGAGGGAATGGTCTGTGTATTCATACAATAGGTAGTTGTTTTTAAAAAAAACTGCATATTTAATATTTAAATTGTATTAAGTACATATCTACATCAATAAATTATATTTTACGAAATTGTATAGTAAGTACTTAGTAGGTAATTTAGTAATTTATTCAGTTGAACAAAACGGGCCAAAGCCTAAGAGTACAGATAGTTAATAAATTAGAACAATATCACAGAAAACAAAACAATAGTATCTAAAATAAAATTCACAATAAGAATCTGAGAAGAACAAAAAATAGGACTAAAATGTATTATTAGGTATATCTAGTATTGCATACAAATTATAAACTTTGTTCATGTGAGCATACCTTAGAGATGGGAAGAAGTAGTATTTATTTTATAATATTTATTTATCGTACAAAGTCTACGTGTCCATGATAAAATACACATCTTTTTTAAATTTTAAATTTCTGTTTCCCGATACAGGAAACGTAAATATTTCATGGGCCAGCCAAACATTAGTAAGTAACTTGTATTTTAATTTATTACTAACCTTTTGATCAAGACCGCAACCAATACCAACATATTTATACAAAGACGTAGGTAAAGTTTTCTGTTGTAGTCCGGATAATTGCAGTCTATATAGAACTTTCAAAGTAGATTATTTTTATTTTGTTAATAAAATTGTTCCGTTAGTGTATTATCACAACTGGTCTCACGAGTTGACTAAATTGTTAGTAATCATTAATTGATTATGCTGAAATAAAACCTTGTTTTAAACCCTTAAATACATCTTCTAAATACGGCCCCTATGTGTATACCATAGGCAGTAGCTAGACACCATCTTGCAATGCTTATATTGATCGAGTTTCATGTCTGGCTTCGAACGACAAACAAAAAAAAAAAAAAATCATTGTAAAACAAATACATTCCTCGCTCCACTCAAAATCTAAAAATTTAATTTATGTATAGGAATTAGTAACTGTATTTATATACACATAAATACGATAAACATACTTTTGACGTTATATTATACTATAATAATTACAGTATGTTTATTATCAACAGTAAAAAAGTTTAATGTGAACACTTAATTTAAATTGTTAAAATAATATGGCTGTTTATCGGATAAAAAGGGGTGGTTTGTATTTTAAGGGTGGGAGTTTGGTATTGGCCACTGGTTGGTTGTTAAAATATGAGAGGGCGTTTTCATCTTTTACCCTGTTTCGTTTTCAAGATCCATTTACACCCTTCAGTATATAGTGTAACTTGTGTGCAGAACGATAAGAGATATACCTAATTTGTGTTGAATAATGGATAGTGATATATGAAAAAGACATTTTTCACTTGGGTAAGTTTAATTTTCATTAATTAATTACAATATTTAATCAAATTTGTGAACATACGATTTATTTATTTTTTTCTAAATCGATTATTATTATTCCATATAATATACAATCGTTTAACAAAAAACTGACTTATGATTGATTATCTATTTTATTTTGAATTTTAATTTAATAATTATATATATAATATTATTGCATCCTTATTTACAAAATATTAATACTGAAAACTTTAAATTCATACACTAACATTATTTATTTTAGTATTTTTTAGATACCCATAGTATAATTTATGTGAATTGAATATAGTATTTATGGGATATTCCCATTTTGCTCCAGGTATAGGTCAAAAAGTGGCAAATATGGTCAACATCATAATGTTTAAATGAATTATGTAGCTTCTTATACAGTTATAATCTACCTTAATTTCTTCGTTCTGCTTTTCGTTCCCCTGCAAGATTTCTAAAATTAACTATTTTTATTCTCTAGAACACAGTTTATTATTATTTTAAAGATACGATTATTTAATTATAATATGGTATTGTCATTATTAAAAATTGATTACAATATTCACATCGGATTTTGAATAATCTATTTTATCTCTGTTAAAATGAGTGAATTACAATGAAATTGATTATTCCTGCTAATAATACGAGTATAAAGTGGTGTTTCCATAAGGTATATACGCATACCTATGAATAAATTATATAAACTACATACTAAATTAATGCCGCATACTCTCAACAATTTGTTGAAAAATCATATCAGTGATAAATAGTTTACAAATTATTAAAAAAAAAAAAAAAATAAAAAATTCGTAATGTTATATTATTATATACCACTTAATACATAAACCATAATAATAATACAAATTGTATCACAATCAAAATTACAACATTTACAATTCTAACAAATTTCAATTTAAAAAAAATCAATACAAGACGTTTACAATCTTAGCTCTTAACTCTTAGTATAATTTTAGTATACTATAGTATACATATTGAATATTTATAATACCTATATTATAAATTATATGCAATACATCTTTGGTTCCAGTGAATGAGGGATTAAGTTAATTGTCAGCATTTTATTTTAATAATTCCCCCCCCCCCATTATTTTTGGATTTAAATGGCATAAGTGTTTGCATTTTCAAAATTAGTGTATTAATGTATGTATTTTCAAAGTTTCTTTGTATTGACAAAATGATTTTGTAAATACAAAATTTACTTAAGCTCTTCTTCCCTGAGACTTGAGTGGAACTAATGATACCTATTGGCTATTATATTATGTAAGGTGCAACTGTTTTCGCTATTAAACTAGCAATTCTATCGTATTAATAGGTATCATCTACCTATGCCAAGTATATTCAAAAAGTCAACAGACGTTTAAATATGCCCAAAAATCAACAAACGCTACAAATATTGAGCGACGCGAGAGATGATTCATCTTCGTCACGTGCCGTCATGCTGTTCGGATCAGACGAAGAATGCGATTTAACGTCGGACGACCTGACGTCTGGGGACGAGGACCCGGTGTCCGGAAATCAACTGACAGGGGTCCGGAGGTTCCCGGTGCCGGATCCACGTAAACCGTGTACCGTAACCAATTCCCGGGAACGCTGGCGTCAACATAACGTTACCGGCGCGTTTGCAGAACTCCGTAAATTGGTACCCACTCATCCACATGATAAGAAATTGTCGAAAAATGAAATCCTAAGGATGGCTATCAAGTATGCGACACAATATAAATTAAAACGATTTCACACCAAATAGGATTGACATATTTTATTTTATCGGCTAATTATAAATATACATAGGCACCTGCCAAGGGTGGATATCCAGCATCCAGGCGTGGATCTTTAAATCTGAATTGAAGGGGGACTAAATTTTATTTCAGAAAAATTACAATTAAAATTAAAGTAGGTACTTGATTAATAGATTTAAAAAAAAATTACAAATATTAGTTTTTTGACCAATTTTCAACTTTCATCTGCCTTTGCTTTTGCCTTGCAAATCTATTGATTGCATCGTTGATGTTTATAATAAATACCAAGTTGTTTGTGAATATTAAACATTACCAATCTATTTAACATATCTTGCATCATAGTAGATTTCATGTAATTTTTAAATCGTCGAAAAGACGAAAATGATTTTATTTTGTTAAGGCTAAGTTTATGGTAATAGTGCCAAAAATTTGAAATAAAACTCTAATGTTTGGATAAAATACATTCTTATAAATAAATCTTATTATAGCGGTTTAGGAATTTGGTTTTTCTAATTTCGCTAATTTTATCTTCCACAGTTCCAATTCTGATTTATCTCTAAATGAGATATGTTAATAAATTGCTAATATAATTAAATACCACTTTTATTATTTCTTAATTATTATATTTATATTTGTTAGCAGAGATCAATTATTCTAACGGTATGCTATTTTTAAACCTGTCATTAAATTTTATATGAAGCTGTGTAATTGCTTAATAAATAGAATACAAATTTTTATTCTGTAATCTGTACTAGGTACTACTCTGGATTTGATGTTTCAATATTACATAATAATATGTAATATCTATAAGATGTTATCTTTGTTTGATGACCACACACACACACTGTAGGAATTCGTTTTTCTTTTCCAACCGATGATGCTTTTTCAAATGTATTTTTGAAATAGTTTGGCAATTCTTCATCAAAATTATTTATTGAGATAAATGATAGGTATGTCAAAAGGAGAGAGCTATATCCCCTTAGCCCTCCATGGGTTCACGCCTACTATCATTTATTTACAGCCACGACATTTACCACTATAGACTCGATAATTTGTTTTTATTATTTTGCGAAATGTGTAACTTTATCGTTAACAACTCAAAAAGTATGTACTTACAATTCTAGTTAAACTTTCGGATTTAACGTAAAAACATGACAACATTAACAGAATTATATCACCTTTAAATGAAAAAATCCGTAAATTTCAGAATCAAAAAACCCATTTCATAAAAAAAAAAAAAAAATATTAAAAAATAGGAATCAGTATCAAACTATCAAACTCAACTAAAAACGTCGTTTATATATAAACGTTAAGAAATATAATTCGTTTTAGTTCTTTTTCTATTTTAACTTTCTTTTACATTAAACAATATATAATATGATAATATGATACATATAAAAACCACTGTAAAAATATCATATTTTTTTTGCTAACGGGAATTACCCCTTAACAAAAAAAATGTATTAAATGTAGTATAATATCAATTTGTTCAGGTATATACTAATACTGATATGGTTATCATTTTATACAGGTACATCCGTCTCTTAAGTGGAGTACTTGAATGGCAAGAGAATCAACAGGATTTCAGTAATAATAATGAAGATTGTATGGACAACAATGTTTATAATATAGTGAAAGAAAATATTATTCGCCATGACAAAAACCGATTTCGTTAAGATAATTTATAGTTTATAGATATTATAAGGATTATGAGACCTACTACCCATATAGGTACCTAATAATAGGTATACCTACCTGTCTTATTTCAGAAATGTTGAATTGTAAGAGAACGTGATACCCATACGTGCTGTTTCCGTATTATAAACGTAGGTATAAGTCATGCGTAGGGGAGGGAGGTTAAGGATTATATCCCCCCCCCATTGGCTTAAAATATAAAAAAATATGAGTAATCTAATATTGAAATGCATATATTTCAACCAAAGTACGAGGAAAAACTTGACATATAGATTAGACATTGGCCTTTTTTAGGACCCGGCTTTTAAATTACCAATTCCCACAGTCAATTTGGATAGAGAAGACGAATATATGATTTATTCATGATTCTTATTTGCTACATCCCCTCCCATTGATAATTTATGGGCACGCCACTGATTCGTACAACATAACAAATTTGCATTCAGCTGAAGGAACAACTTTGTGCTGTTAGTCTTAATATTAATAATGCGATTTGATTTATTATCAAACTTAAAGGTAAGATTATCTATGCCTTAGCGTTGATTTTATAATTTTTAAGCAAGGTACGAATATGTGAAACATAATTAAAAATTAAAATATCTTGATTATCTTTTTACCTTTAATTTTGATAATAGATCATTTAGCTATATTATTATTGAAACTAACGGCCTTAAATTTATCCTACTGAACGCAAATTTGCTGTCACATATTTGTAAGACGGAGACAATAGATGCCGGTATGACGTTCTCTTCTATTATATTATATATTAATATCTAATTTGATACACGTATACATAACAAACTGCAAAATTATGTTACATTAATATTCTAGCAATGTTAATCATAAAATAAAAATATCCTTAAAAGATTAATCTAAAGTTCCTTCAATCTTTATAAATATTTTTGTAATATTTTTAGAAAGTTTTTTGTCAACAATTTTCACATTCAGAGAATATTATAGAATAATATTATTATAATCTTAGTTTCATAACATTATTATAATGTTTTGAAAACAATATTCTTACTATAGTTATAAGTACCACTACGGTTCACCATAAATTTAACGTGAATTTAAGTATAGGTACCATATATTTAAAATAAATATAATAAGTGATTTGATACCATAACTTATCTGAAATTATTGCGAATCTGTATTGCCTATTAGTATAAGTAACCATATTATACAGTGTTATCCTTATGCTAATAATTCTGTCAATGTTCATTTTTTTTTCAATTGGATTTTTGTGGAATGGGGGGGACACATATAAAGAAAAATAAAATTTTTGTTTTCGTCCCTTAATTATTTAAAAAAAATAATAACTTCATTTTTCCACTTTTTAAAATGTTCAAAATATCCATATTTTGTAAAATATATTATTCTAAAATTCGAATGTATCATACATTCATATTTGATCAATAGTTTCTCAGTAATGGCAGTTTTAATTTCTAAAATATTGACTTAATAAAAACAATTTATTTTCAATAGAATAACACGCGTAACGCAATAAGGAAAAATAAAAAGTTATTTTTTTCAGTGATTAAAGGATGAAAATATAAATTTAATTTTTCTCTACATGTGTCCCCTTCGCACAAAACCCAATTGAAAAAAAAATAAACATTGAAACAGTAGCATTAGCAAAAGAATAACACCTTAGGACACCTGTATATTATATTACCTATACATTATGTATATTATACAGATGCACTTTTTAACGTTTTATGTTTACATAAATTGTTTTTATTATAATTATAACTTAAACAAAGCGTGATGTGTATAATATTATAATTTATAATAAATCAACCGTGTTCGGTATACTATAATAAACTGTCCAAGAATTATTTTATATACAATTTAGGTAAAAAACATATTTGAATATTTGAATTAGGAACTTTTGAAAAGGATTTAATATATTTTATGTTTAATCAATTGTCTATAAAATTATTTGATTAAATATATCTATTTGTAAAAATGATTTCTTATTATATCTTATCAGTAGATGTACAGATGCATAGACTTACCTTTAACCTATATAATAAGATGTATGAAGTCGGGGTAAAATTTAAAACTTCAATTATTATAAAATATAAATAATAACAAGCAATTTAAATGTGTAAAAATAACTTTTTTCAATAATTTTAAAAAGATAGGTATAATATAAAGAGTACAAAAAAAGTAATATTATAAACAAAGTAAATAAATAGGTCACCTGGAATATTATAATAAATGTGTTATAAGACCAGTTTTAAAATTAAAAATTCATCATCAGGTATATCACAGCAAAAATGTAAAACGCGACTGAATATACAAAACTAAATATAGGAATACATAGAAATAAACAAATTTACAAATTGGTCGTTTTACATAGAATATAGAAATAATTTATTTTAAAAGGAGATATTATTTAAAATTAATTATTAGACATAGATATGTTAAGAATTATAAATTATTTGATTATTATTTATTATCTACAATGTATTGATATAAGATATTATTTTTAAAATCAGTTAGAACATTTAAAATATTATTAAAATTATTTTTCATTATTTCATTGTGTATGTAAATTCTTCTAAAACTGAATTAATGTAAATGTAATTATTCGTATAATAGGTAGACTCATTAGTCATCATAATAGTCCATGCAACGCATTGATTCATTTATTTATTTACGAGTATAAACTATTTTAATGATTTTGTTTTTACTTTATTATTTTATTATTTAATATTATAAGTGTCGAAAAAAGAAATAATAATAAAAAAATTGAATAACATAGCAAAATAATTAAATTATCAATTTAAAATTGACATTTGTGGCAAGAGTTGAAAGATAATTATTTTAAGTTTTATCTTCTACAGTTTTTGTTCGATGAGTTTCTGAAAATATACATTCAATAATAGCTATTAGATTATTATGATGTTCGACCGGTAACTAGTAGGTATAGTTTCACTAACGCGAGATAATGGTAAATAGCCAATAGGTATAGGTAATCTTTATAATTTTTCATACTAAAAGTATTTATTAATAAATTAATAAATTATTCTCTTCAATATATTATCTTTTGTTAGGTTCCTATCTAATTAGATACATAAAAATTCACAAAAACTATCACCTGTCTCCCAAGATGGAGGTTTTTCAGTAGCAAATAATACAATATAGTAAGAGATTATCGCGGGGATTATTTTCTTGCCAAAACAGTTTTCTTCTATTATAAATATAGTACTATCAAGTAGTCATCAAAAAAAAGTTGAATATAATGTAGTTTTTTTTTTATAAGAATTTATTTAAAACAATATTAATGATAAACTGAAAAACAAATAAATAGTAAGATTAACAAAAAATATGTGAGTAAATGAATAATGCAACATATCACTAATAGAAACATTATTACAATATTTGTTTAAGTGGCACTGAAAAATTATATATTCACTTTTTTGAAGATGGTGTCATAAAAGATGAGTTGAAAAATATAAAAAATTAGCCGCTATTATAGAAATTTTATAAAAACGTTCAATTGTATTTAGAGGACGCTTTACGCAAAGTGAAATATAATGTTATAATTAATATTCACATTTCCACGTGAATAAAATTTAAAATCAAGTTTCAAACTTTATATTTTAATTCTATTAAATATATAATTATTCTTCAAAATACAAAAATAAATTAAATTTGTATGAATGAGAAAAAAAAATTGTACAGTAAAAGGTGATTTTTTATGTATAAAATATGGTCAACATATGGTCAAAATTAATTTTACAGCTATATGTATAATGTTCACATTTATTTAAATACATATACAAAAATAAGATATCTGAATATTATACATTTATTATCAATTATTAAATAATAAATTACAAAAATGTAATTAAATAATAATAAGGAATAACATTTCTTTTTCAAATTGATAACAAGTTAACGAATACAATAAAAAACCTTGAGTGTGGTAGATGTTCAGTGAAATACATTATACATAAATACTAATTCCAAAAATGATAAAGAAAACTTGAATTGTATAAAAAAAATAATATATAAGAAAAAACCCAACATAATCTACATAAATTAGTTAATTACTAACATTGATTACGAATGTATTCACTGAAACGCGGTGGTGTGTTCCAAACAGCACTTGATGTTCGTTGTCTATTACGAATAGGCCAGCCTTCAAATGTTTTTTGAAGGTCCATAATTTTAGGACAGTTAAAGAATGCATCTCTTTCTTGAGCATCAACATGATATTGTAGTTCAAGTACAGGTGCTCTATTTTCTCCTATTAGTAATAATATTAATATTAATTTAGAATATCGTATATAATAAATTGTTTAATGTCACATACGAATCGCCCAGCTAGGAACCTTTTTTTTTGGTCCAGATTCATCGTCAGAAGAATCTTGAGCTGACATATCATTTAGATCATAATCATTTTCATTTTTGTCAATTTCATTGTTTCCAGTCTTAAAATAAAATAAACAGAAAATATTCATAATACATTTTTGTTATTTAATAAATTAATCCTAAGAAATTAATTTTGATAACTAGTTATTGCAAAATTTTAATAATTTATGGAAGCAATTTAAGTTTCTTACTTTGCCAATCCCATAAATATAAACAATAGTAGTTCAAATTAACCTCATAATATACTAATTTTACTATGTACAATAAATGGTTTAAAAACTATATAAATTTAGACTTATATGCATAAGTTATTTTATAAACAAATTTAAAAAAGTACCTAACTTACTTTTGTTTTTGGTAATACAGCAGTTTTAGCAATTGGCTTAGGTAATGCTGAACGTAATGGTGAATTTACAACTTCAGGAAGATTTTTGACCAGTCTAAACACAATACAATTTTTCACAAATTTAGTGAAATGTATTAAGAAAGAATATTAACAAATTTAAATATTTATATAACTGTTACTCACTTTAATTCATTTTTCTTTTTAAGTTCACTTTCTTTTACCTTGCGATCAATTTCTTCTTTTTTCTATAAAAATGTTGTATCATATTATTATAAATTATAATTAACTTAACGTTTTTTAAACCAACTAAAAGTTTAAACAAATTTATAAATAAAATTTCATTAATTACCTTTAAAACTCTTGCTTCCAAAGCCTGTTTACGCTTAGAATTTAACTCTGCCTGTTGTTTTTGCTTCTTTAGTAGTTCCTCTTTTATTTTAAGTTCTTTTAGTCTTTGTGCTTCTTCCTTTTTCTTTTTATCTTCGGCAGTTTTTTTAAATTTTTCTTCAGCAAGTTTCATTTGTACTTCTCTTTGTTTAGTAACCTTTAAATGCTGATCTTCAAATTTCCTAAATAGTATAAAAAAATACAGATATACTTTTCAGGATGGCTGGGTAATTGTTATAGGTGAAAAGTTGGGAAGGTAGGATCTAGAGGGGAATTTAATGTATATATGTACACAACAGCTAATCTTTGATAACAAAAAACGATTCTAAACTGAGTTTAATTATACATGTTTTGAAAACCTGTAATATTTAAGATTTTCATCAAAATTTGATACTCAAATTCTACATTACATTTTTTTTTTTTTTTTTGACCACAAAGTACGACTTATAATGAACATCCTATTAAATTTTTCAGCATTTGTTTGACCTAACAATTTTATCCACAGAATACCTACCAAATAAAAATAATTTAAAATCTGTCAAAATAAAAATATTTATAAATAGCTAAAAAAGGCCTAAAATATTTTGAAAATCTGACCATATCTAGATAAAAGCATACATATGTTTTTTGTCAAAATATCAAGTCTCTATAAATATTTTAAACTGAATCATATCAAAAAACAAAATTTAAAATAATACATTACATAAACTTTCTTGTTCTTTCCTCAATTGTTTTGAAAAATTGAAACATGACTTTCCTAAAGTAGCACCCGGATAAAAATTTTTTTCAGAGAAGATGTTACACTTGTAAATAGGAGAAAAATGTTTGATAGAAAAGTTGTTTATAAAAAAAATAAATAAACATCATTAAAAAACCAATTTCTCGCTCTGTTTAGATTCTAAAATCTTTAAATACTTATTCATCTAGAATTAATTTTTAGGAGAACCAATTTTATAATGAGACTCTGATAAATTTAAAAATCCATTTTTGGTAAGGAAATTCCACAAGTTTGATACCCGAACACATATTGAATATGTAATAAATGTTTTCAATAAAAGATATTGTATAACTTAATATAATTATAAATAGGTACTTTTTATCAGCTTTGGATTTCAGATACAACTCTTTTCTTTTTTCTGCTTCATTTTCCCTGATTTGATGAGGAGTTTGTGGTACATCTAATGGTTTATTAGGTGTTGATGTTTGTATTTCCAATGGCACATGAATTACATTAGCTTTCTTAACACATATTTCAGCCATTTGATTTTCCTCTTGAAGTTTTCTTTTCTTTGTTCTTGTTTGTGGTGATTGTTCCTTTATATTAACATCGATATCTTCTAACTTTTCACGTTGTTTGTCTATTTTTTCGGGCGCCACACTAAAAATTAAATATAAAACTATTCAAGTCATACAAACATATTTAAAATTTATTTATTAAAAAATCATTGAAAAATACCTATTTTTCTTAGAATCAGTTCTAGTTGATACTTTAGGTACCCCAGATTTTGATGAAGAATCTTCAGTTATTAAATCGACAGTTTTATCAGATTTCTTTTTTAAATTTGTTTTAGATTGAATTTTAATATTATATGTATGATTAGCATTAGTTGGTTTAATATTGGAGTCTTTTTCAGGAGAAAACATATTATGAGGTGATAAAAACTCTTCTACATTTCCCATGTCCTTTTTAGGAATTACAAAGGTGGAATTTGCTTTTGGACCATTGAAAGGATTTGAATCTTCAATAAATGTAGATATTGCTCTTGCCCGACTAGCTCCTAAAACAATTACAATAATAATGGAACTATAATCAAATATAATATAAACACCACAAGTAAACTTTTAGGGGTTTGTAAAAAAAAGCAAATATCAATATGATAATATATATATATATATCTAAAATCTAGATTGTCACATTTAAAATTTAATTTTTTGAAGTACTAATATACCTAAAAAGCGTTAAAACTTAGAAAGTTTATAATTTAAAAAAACAAAAAAAATTAATTATTCTAAACCCATGTAGTATATAAATATAGTATCAAATCATACATGTTCACCACACATAAAACGCAGCAAATTGTGAAAAAAAAAAAACCCACAATGAAATATTCCTAGGAATTCATTTCACACGATCCTATAATGTTATAATATAGGAAGTTATCAGAAATTCAGAAACATATACAGAGTGATTCTCTAGGCGTACAAACCCCATTATTTTAGTTAAATTTTGCATATATTCAAATTCTAACTTTTGAAATTTTTAAGTGTAGTCATTGTTAGTGTGCCAATATTTTTTGATTTTTCAAAACATTTAAGTAGTAGGTATGTTGTGTTGATACCAACTTTGGTTTTTAAAATGAGAACATGTATTAAAAATTCTATAAATAGACTTGGTATTACTTTAAAATCATATTATAAATGGAAATTATAAATCTCAATGCAAAATCCATTCTAAACCAAAATTTTAATTAAATGCTGTAAACAATATTGTTGAAAAATATAAAGTAATATTTACTTGTAGAACAACCTCCAGACGAGCTGATAGTCGCAGATTCTCTAACGCCTCTGATTTTTTCCACTGCTAACTATAGAAGATGTTTACATTTGTATCATTAATTTGTTGAGTAAAAATAATATGTATTTTTATCAAATTATAAATAATACATGGAATGCCCAAAAACAAAAAACTTTATAAAAACAAATATGCATCATCCATCAAGAGAAAACCATGAAACGATGCCAAATGTAACAGCTATACCAAAAATATTTTAAAATTAATACATACCATAGAAGCTTGTCTTTTAGTTCTACGGAGTGGCGGAACTGCCGGTTGTTGAAAATTTGATTCGGCAGAAAATAAATCACCAGTTTCTACATTTTTGACTTCTAAAAAAATTGGATAGTTTAATATTTATAATTAATATATATGAAAAAATTGGTTAATACTCAAAAATTAAAATATAGGACATAGGACATGGGTATATATATACATATACATATAGCTTTTATAACCAGTTTAATAATAAAAAAAAAATCAAGTAATATAACAATAATATATAAAAACATCTAAAAATATTGAACACTTAATAGCCTTTTTTATCTATCTAACAAACAGAAATTTGTTTGCATACTTTTAATAGAAATGGTCTTACAAACATGATTTTGGGGCCAAATCAACATGAGAAATGAACGAAATATATAATTTTCTGAAATATAACAATTTTGTATTATTTTTCTAAAATACTTTATAAAAGATAAATTTTAAAATTCAAATAAAACCATTATATATAAAAAAAAAAAGAAGCTAACCTATAGATATTTACTATTTAGTACAACTTCATATGTTAATTTTGGTATTATAGTCAAGTTTAAAAAACCAATGAGATCTGAAGTACTATTGGAAGTACAAAAACACATTATTCAGGGTTGCCATTTAATATTATGCAACATATTTGTTTTTACCATTATAAATTTGTTAATAATTTCCTAAGGTAATTCACAAATATGCAAAAATAGCAAGAATGGCATAACAAAATCAACTCGTAACACATCACAAATAACAAATAATATAGAGAAAAGTTTTGCAGCAAAATGTTGTTTCTAAAATTATATACAATTTGTAATTTAATGATAAATTTCCTAACATTTCCAGATTTTCCACGAACAAATAAAATTTCTAAAATTTTTAAGGTTTTCTAGACCTGTGGTAAACTTGTTAAATTCATTAGATAGACAGAGATGACAAAAGCACATTTGATGTTTTCTTAAATTAATTTTTATAATATAACATTAAATGAAAATTAGATCCCTACACTAACAAATTGTTATTTACTTGGCTAAAAGATATATATACAATAATTGATTTTAAACAAAGTAACATTAAAAGCCATTTGCATATAACAAATGGCTTAGCCTATATCAATATTAAACAAAGAAGAAATTAAAAAATATAAAACTTATTTTTCAATAAATCTCCTACCCGTCTAGTCTTTATTACAGTTAACTGTTATTGTCTATTAATTTATTTCTTAAAAGGCATTTTCTTGCTAGTGACAACCAAATTAACTCATAAAAATTATTGTTTTCATATGTGTCGCCAAGGTGGATGATGATACATACTAGATTTTTTTGATAGTTTCTTTTCAAGACCACAATTATTGAATAGTTCTCTTTGTGCAGCTTGATTTATTAAATTTCTATAAACACCATCCAATTTCATTGTTTGCAACTATAATAAAAATAATTCTATTTCAATATTGTACATAGGTAATAATATTTAAATTGATATGTAAGAAAGAATTTTTAAATAATCAACTTATTCTATCTTACCTCTAAGCCATTATTAATGTTTTTAATACTTTGTAATGTTAACATTCCCATTTCCTTCCATATTTCAAACATATTTGTTGATTGAAAATCCATTTTAGAATAATTGAAAATCTAAAAATAATTTTAATGTCACTTACATAATTAAAGAGTTTATAGACTTACAAAATTGTAATTTTTTTTTGAAAAGCTAAAGTATCTACCTTCTTTTAAATGTATTTATTATAGGTATTAAAACAATGAATATTAAAAGTTTAAGATCAATAGCAAAACATTAATTTAGAAAATGACTTTTACCATTATAAGTTCATTATAAGTATTTAAAGGTATTTATATGAGCGCAAATCACTCACTGTCAAGTGTTTATTATGCAACGAGACTGCAACAGTAGCTATCATAATATTGTATATGTAAAATAATAATGGTAGTCGGTAAACATTGTGATTAAACCACTTGTCATTATAAATTTCTAATTCACAATGCACAATAATAATTATGTTTGTATGTTTCAGAACCTATATATTTATTTATTCCAGAAATTCCCACTCAGAATCACAACTTGGCTACTCGTGTAGGGCGGAGATTTGGTTAGGAGAAAACGGTAGAAAATCGATGGTTATAGTCACTGACAGCAGTAGCCAAACTGTACCTAGTAAATATAGAGCCAATAAATGAAGAATTTTAAGTGTTTTGAAAGAGCGATAACTCTCATGTTTACAAACACAAAACATATAATTACAATACAATTAGGTACATATGGATTAAAAACCATAATATATAACTACACTTCATATGTAAATAAACAATGAATTATTAGTTATTATTTTGCCAAATAAGATAAACAGATCAATTTACTTTTTATATACTTGTTCCAAACAATAAAAACGGTTAACATTAATTAATAAAATATAATTACAACAGAAAAATTTAAATTACCGATTGGATTAATTAAAAAAATTTAAATAAATCCATATAGCAAAATAATAAAAACATAGATTACACACACGCCACGGAAACAAATGATTCAACTGAACGTTCAGAATCAAATCAAATTTTAACGGTTTAACTCGGCACTCTAGCTACTGTTGATCGCTGATGGCTAGGATGCTAGATATTTAGCTCCAGCGTTGCCAATTGACATAATGTAATTGCGTGACAATCATACAGTGTGGTCAAGTATTAATACTTTATAGTTTATATATCACGGTCTTGAAAAATCCAAGCAGTATATGATAAGCACAAAATAGATATAACGATGGTATAAGGTCTATGGAGTATGTTGATGGTTAGACATATATTATCTTAATCCGTATGGTGGTCTATTTAGATCATCGATCATCAAGATATCTATGTTTATCTACATCTCCATTGGTTAACTAAGAGAATCAATTTGACTATGTGAATGACCACTTGGAATGACTAGATCTAAATGATCCCTAAGATCTAAATGATACGAAAATGATCTATTTGATAGGGTTTTATTTGACCCACGGAGATCTAGTAAACTACGAGGATTTAGATATCCCTAAGATTTATATGGTCGGTGATCTAGGTCTCTATGCTCTTTGGCGCATAATTATTTTGCAATATACCCCTATTCTCTAAATCCTTGATGGTAACTATGTAATAATAATATTATTATTTTGTTTTATCTGTGATTTAAATAGACATAGCTACGCACGGACTAAGATAGTTCTCAATAACATTACAAGACTACTAACCGATTATATTATATTTAGGTACAATAGTTTTACCACATTTATAATTTATATAAAAAAAAAGTCTATGAATATTGGATAGTGATGATATCAATAATTGTAATATGTGGCTTAAATCACATAGATCATAATATACTCATATTATATTAACTATATTTATGATCTAAGGTTGCACCTATGTATATTGCGTGGCTTTATGTCAAGTGGTTATCTTGTCGGGTGGCTTTTTGACGTGCTTCAGTAGTTCAGTATAGAGCACAGTTATAGATAGAATATAACCTATCTATTTATAATGGTATAACCGTGGTATAGATTATATTATTATTTCTTAGATCATATACTATGTGTAGTACCAAAGCATACACAGCGTATTTAATATATATGAAAAAATGTTGCCGAATCCCGATATCAACGACGGGTCTCCGAATTAGGTTTGATATGCGTATGCGTAACGCAACTTTTCGCATATTTATCCGATTAATCATTTGATTCATCAATAATTATGCGAGGAGTTGCATTGCTCATGGCACATCGAATACCTAATTCAGAGACTTGTCGCTAATATTGGCAACAAAATAATATGCTGTTGCTATATCCATAGTACATAATCCAAGATTATATTACTTTCATACATAGAATAACAATATAAGCTATCATAGATAGATCAATAAAATTATATGTATTAAATAAATGTTAAATGTAAATAAATTCCATAGATCAACCAATATTTCATGGAGAAAAATATTACGTTTTCTTTATAATTTTCTTGAACAAGTTGAACGGTAACATTTGAGTGTGACCAACTGCAATGATAATCGAATCAACCAATTAGAAATCGCCAAGTACAAAACAGCAACAAGACACACGTATACATTGAGCTCACAATGTATATAATAGGTATAGGTATTTTATTTAATATTTATTTACAAACCGGCTTAGTTCATTCGTCTTAAATTGTCATTGAAATTGTTTTGTTGATTTTTTTACGTATGATTTAAATTTGAAGTTTTTAAAATTATTTAGTTTTTTAATCACGCAAATATGAATTTAATGCGTGGATTGATCATATTTTCTGGGTTCTTATTGAGTTCCATACTTGCTGAAAGTGTTGTTGATCTGTCCGATTCTGATTTTGATTCATCAGTTGCCGAATATGATTCAGCTTTAATCATGTTTTATGCACCATGGTATGAATTAAACTTGAGCGTAATATTTAACACAGAAGATTATATTTTTTTGGTTTTGTTTTAGGTGTGGCCATTGTAAAAAACTAAAACCTGAATTTGAAAAGGCTGCTAAAAGTCTGCTGAAGGAAGATCCACCTGTAGTTTTGGCAAAAGTAATTGTTTTATTTATACTTGGTATCTAATAATAGTTTAAAAATTACAATATTATAGGAAATAATCAAAATCTATCTTTATTATTTGTATTAAGTACCCGATTAAGCTATTCAATTTTTTTTTTTTATAAACATAGTATTAATATTGGTATTAATATAGTATTAATATTGGTATTAATATAGTATTAATACCAGTTGAAGTCTGGATCTTGGGGTAAAAATAAGATGTTTAAAAACTCCAATTTTATATTTTTTGTGCACCCCTTCCGAATAATGTTCTGCAATCAAATTGCCAGTCATTCATAAATGCTCTCTGGCTCTGAGTCAAAACTGAACTTTTAAATATTGAAAAATTCTCCAAGTTATATATTCGTTTCCAATACAAAAATTAGTATTAGTCTACATTAGAGGACACTATCCTCCTTGAAGTAGTATCAGGTTGAACATTTAGGTTAGATATTCCTTAAGTTTTACTATGACCTAGAATCATCTTCTTTGTTTAGCCAACATCACAAAATTATACATTTGTGTATATTTTTCTGTAAATTCGCTTGTCACATTTTTTAATTACAACTTTTCTATTTATTAGTAATTTAATAATTGTTATTTTTGTGACTGCTATAAGTATCTAATATTATGTATGAATCTCATTTAGTTTATCTGTTACTAGCTTCTGATAAACAAGTAGAGTTGCCACTAAAATAAGAAAATTTTAATCTATGTTTTTACTTAATTGTTTCTTGGAAGCTTTGTTAAACATATGATTAATGTTAAAATATAGATAGGCCTGACAACATCGTAGTTTTTGTGTTTATCAACCATCATGTATTATTGTTGAAAAGTAACTAAATTTGTGTACCTGCTTTTTAGTTAAATTTCCTATGATTATTTAATCAAAAAATGTTACAAATAAATTTTAATTTGTACTGAGTATTATATTAAATAATTTACTCAAATATTTGTTGTGATTTTTGTAAAAATAATAATTATACATTAGAATATGTAATGCAAATGTTTAAATTCTGTTTTCTAATTATTAAGGTTATTATTTTGGAATATGTATCTATTATTCATTCATACAATTTTAATGCTTTATAAAATGTGATTCGAATACATATCTGCACAATTATTTTAAATAATTCATATACTAAAAATTATAATTTTCTTATTTATTCAGGTTTAATTTTTCCTTAATTGTTCTTTGTAAGTATATTCATTGTGTTTTCTTATTCAATTAAAATAGAATATCCTGTTATTCTGATATAACCAATTGATTCTTTCAAATATTAACTTTCTCAGTGTGTTTTGTTTAATGACACATAATATTCTTTGTCTTAATTAATATTGGTTTTTTACAGGTAGACTGTACTGAAGCAGGCAAAGATACATGTAATAAATTTGGCGTTTCTGGATATCCAACTCTAAAAATATTTAGAAATGGTGAAGTTTCTAAAGAATATAATGGACCTCGTGATTCTGGTATATATTAATAATTTATTCATACTTAATATTTTTATTTTTTTTTTTTAAATATAGCTATATAATAAATAATAACTGTATATATTATAATTTAGCTGGTATTGTAAAATACATGAAATCACAAGTAGGACCAAGTTCAAAAGATTTATCTTCAGAAGAAGTTTTTAATAACTTTATATCCAAGGATGAAGTAGTAGTTGTTGGTTTCTTTGAAACTGAAACTGATCTTAAAGGAAAATTTATTCAAATTGCTAACAAATTGCGCGAAAAAGTTAACTTTGGTCATACAACTTCCAAGTCAGTAATTGACAAATACAACTACAAGTACGTATTTTAAACAAAATAAAAATTATTGTACAGTAAAACTTCCATTAATGGTTATTTTTTTGGTCCTGCCAAGTACTATGCCTCTAGGACACTTCTGAATAGCGGTAATTATTTCCAGTTCCTTTGGTGACTATTATATGAAAGTTTTACTAAATCTATTTATATATAAAAAAACCTGAAAGTTGAAAAACTCTACACTTAAGTCAAATTCTCTCCTCCCCTTCTACTTATTTTGCATTATAGAAATTCTTTGCAATAAATAAAAGAATAGGTACTATATTATACTACAATTATAACATTTCTAAAAAATGTGAAATTTGACAACAAAAATGGTAGTGATAGATTGTTTTTTAGCTTCTAGTCAGTGACTGACAGCTCGACATTTATTTAGAAAAACAAAATTAAGTCTAAGACAAAGAAAAAAAACGCACAAATATTAAATCACAAAACCAGCTTCCAATACTAAATTAATTAATTTAATTATGAACTATTCGGATTTAATGTTTAGTATAGAAAAGAGGTTGGGGAGAATGGTATGAAATTTAAAAAAACTGCAAAATTAAGCACTTGGAACATAAGGAGGGACAGTTGAAGAGTAGACGAAAGAGGTCACAGATGCTTTCAGTTGATTATAGGGTGTAGATGATGGGTCATGTAAGCCCAGTTTATAGGCATATGATCAGGAAAGAGCGAATAACCCACACAAAGTCTGTTAAAATGGAAAATCGTAGAGCTGGTTAAATTTAGATTGTAAATGAAGTTTTTATAGTGGGGATATTGGGAACAATATTAGCTGGCTAGCTGATGAGTTATTCCAGTAGTTGGACAAAAGATTTCTTATGTGGGTTATATATAGGGTTGGGGTAAAATCAGTCCATGGAAATTGAGCAAAGAAGGGTTAAATAGAATTTGAAGTAGATTTGGCTAACCTCTTAGCCACTTCGTTGCCTGGCTTGGGACCAACATAAATTGGATTAAGTAATTTAATTGCATCAGGTAATTTAAAAATAACTTGAGGGAACCCATTTTTGTTTTCATAATTAAATTCTAGTAGTTAAAATTTTCTTTTTTTATTATTATATACTTTTTATAACTTTTTATAACTATGTTGTATTTTGTGTTTAGGAACAATGTTGTGCTCTACAGACCTAAATATTTAAGTAACAAATTTGAACCAGACTTTGTTGTTTTTGATGGAGAAGAGTCATTATCAGCTTTAGATAGTTTTATTACATCTAATTAGTGAGTATGAACAATACATTGAACACTTTTATTTGTATTTTTAGTGTATTTAATTCTACAAAAATGTTGAATCTAATTTTTTGAATCATTCTGTAGTCACGGTTTAGTAGGCTACCGCCAAAAAGAAAATATGGAAGCTTTCAAACCTCCATATGTTGGAGTTTATTATAATGTTGACTACGTTAAGAATCCAAAAGGAACAAACTACTGGCGAAATAGAGTATTAAAAGTTGCAAAGTCAGTAGTAGGTTTAACATTAGCTATAAACAACAAAGACGATTTCCAACATGAAGTTAGTGAATATGGATTAGAATTTGTACCAGATGATAAACCTATAGTTTTGGCTCGTTCGCTTGACAACAAGAAGTATATAATGAAGGATGAATTCTCGTAAGATTTTGGTTTTAAATGTTATATTAGTTTTAAAATTTTAATTCAGTTGTATTTTCAATGTATACATTTTATTTGTAGAGTTGAAAATCTTGAATTATTTATACATGATTTCCAAAATGGTGATATAGAACCATATATTAAATCAGAAGCTATTCCGAAAGACAATTCTAGTCCAGTGAAGGTGGCTGTTGCTAAAAACTTCGATGATATTGTTATTAATAATGGAGTTGATACATTAGTGGAGTTCTATGCCCCATGGTGTGGTCATTGTAAAAACTTAGCTCCAATCTATGAACAAGTAGCTGAAAAGGTAATAAAATTAATATCAAACCAAATCAACAACTGTATACACTATACAGTAGTATGTTTGTTGCATAATTGTGTTATTCATATTTAGGCTCATGAGTTATCTGTGTATAGTATGTACTTAATATTTTATTAAAGTACAAGTAGTCTAACCAATGACAATAAGATGGATAGTAGTTCATCTATTAGGACAAATTAATCTATATAGATTTATAACTAATGAAGCTAATATGCTTTTAGGATTTTATTTGTTTATAAATTAGGTTTAAAGTTGTTTTTAAATTGATTTTAGTTACAAGATGAAGCTGTGTCATTGGTCAAAATGGATGCAACTGCTAATGATGTTCCTTCTATATTTGATGTTCGTGGTTTCCCAACTTTGTACTGGTTGCCTAAGGATGGTAAAACTAAGCCTATCCGATATGAGGTATAAAATATCAATTGTTTTTTATGAATATGAATTTTAATTTTGTATAATCCTATAGGGAGGCCGTGACTTGAATGACTTCGTCAATTATATAGCATCCAAAGCAACAGATGAACTCAAAGGTTTTGATCGATCTGGAAAACCTAAGGAGGGAAAAGATGAACTGTAAATTAATGGTTCAAAATTAAACACAAGGCTGATTTAATTTAATTTGAATTGGACTACTCTTTTTTTTTTTTTTATTAATACCGAGTAGGATGAATGATTTTTTTTAAAATCCATCCAAGTTCAATGGGAAATAAACTACTTTATTTATTCTTAAATAGATTATTGGGAATATACATTTTATAGAGTTAAATTAATGCTCCATTTTCCTATTCATATCTTAATACAACAAGTTATTGTATTTAAACATCATTATTCTGTCACAAAAATTAAATTTTAATAAATATGTTGTGATTTTCTATTTTGTTTGATAATATTTAATTTCTCACCTTTCACTATCTCTAAGTTTTTATCTCATATTATTTTATTTTGTTGTGTTAGTATATAGGAGTACTATCTCTGTGTAACAGGTAGCCGGTAAAATTATATTTTAAAATAGTATGACAAAAATTAAATGTTAAAATACTAAAAAATTGGTTAAATTATATTTTTAATAATATAAAGTTTTTATTATGGATACAGAAAGATTGTTAAACTTGAAAACTTTAATGAAAAAATAAAATTAATGAATGTATAAAAATCACTTATTTGTAAAAACTAAATAATAAATATTATTTAATTCATGTAATATTTTATTGTACAAGATATTTTTGATTCTGAAAGAAACCGAATGTTTTGGTTTTACCATGTGTGCTTTTAGATTCTGGGTGGAGCGAGTAATACATTGGTTACAATAATAGCACTTTTTCTAAAAGGAAATCTGACTGAGATGGTACTTTAGGGAGGTAATTTTATGATTTTCCCAGCTGTTTTCATAATGAATTGGTAAAAACAGGAATATACTAATGACTAATCGCTGCACACAAATATACATTAAATTTCTCCTCTACTACTTTTCCAACTTCTCCCCTACAACAGTGGCTCAGCCACATACGAAGTAATGGTCTTTTTTCTTTTCTGTCTAGAAAAACCTGCCTACACGAAATTTCACCTCAAACATAAAAAAATAAAGAAATATATTTTCTTGAATTTTAGATCTAGTTGGTGGATTAAGGAGATTATTTTACGTTTTTATGATTTTTGTTAAATTTAGTAACCTACTACATTATATTATTTTAAAATACATTTTAAAAGTATCTTTTTTGAAATAAAATTTTCTTTAATAAGCAAGTAATTTTCTTAATAATTAAAAAAATCAATACCATAACCACTTTCATTATTTTCGATTTTTTTTTTTAAATTATCATATTTATTTCAAAACTTGTTTGATCAAATATTACTTAGAATTTTGTCAGCAATAATTTATTGTAGTATAACCTATATTTTTCTTTTGAAACATTTTAGTTAGATCTATCAGACCTTCAAAAATATGTAGACTTTAACCATGACATTTTTTCAGATAATGATTTGAGTTATATTTCTTTGTTTTCTATTATTATTGGGTATAAATACCTTGCAATAATAATGTAAGCTGTAATAACTTACCTATTTAAAATTGTTTATAGAAAGTTATTTAATGAAGCTTGATCATTTTTTTATTCAATTAAAATGGAAAAAAAAAATTATATACATTCATAAATATTTTCCATTTTTATTAATATCATTATACAATATATTGGCTTTTATTTACCACTGCAAATTATAATTTACTATAATGCAGGTTATTTATGAACAAAAAATTATTTTTATAATTTTATCGAGACATTTATAATTTAAAGTCAAAGCCCTACTTTTGGTTTGTAATATATTTTAGAAAAATTATAAATTAATTTGGTTTTCAATTTCAATGAATGCATATGGTACAGCATACAAATAAATATATACTAATGAAGGACAACACATTAGTAATATTAGCATAGTACATTCATTTTAAAAATTGTATTAATCTTATTTCAGATCATTATTTTAGTTGACTTTTAAATTTGAATTTAAAAAAAAAAAAATGTTGAATTTCTTATTGTTAGAAAACAAGATAAATAAAAATTATTAACATGAATTTATGAACTCAATTAAAACTTCAGTAAATAATTACAGATAATACAGTTGTTTTAAAGATCTTTACTTTAAAAAACTCAACTTGAATTGGTTAGGTAAATACTGAATAAAATAATTTAAGTCATTCTCTAAAATAAATTTTTTCTTTACTTTTTCAATGTGTAGTCTTTTACCACCAACAAACAAAAAGCAACATTGTTGTAGTTTTTAATAATAAGTAATTAAAAAAAATATACTAATTAGGTTTCTATATATTAAGTGTACAGTAATAATAATATAAATTTATTCACCTAATAATCAAAAAATACTAAAATATATTTTCCAACTATAAAGTACAAAAATCCCACATAAAATATTTACATTTAAAATATGTATTTATAATAAATAAAATATCATCATTTATAAAGATTGCCTATACTTATAAAGCCTATTATTTTTACAATGTGTGATTTACTCTTCACATCTCGATTTATTTACACTTAACCAATTGTCATATAAAATGTACCTTATTCAAATCAATAAAATGATTAAAACGATTACAAGTTGAATAAATAAATACATATTTGCATACATTTACAAATCAATTTACAAAAAAATAATAAGTTTTCTAAGAACGTGTAGACCCTAAAGACTTTAAAACCAAATCTTTCACCTTGATTTGATATCACAGCCTTGTAATTAAGTAAAAAAAAAAATATATTGGAAAACTGTTAAACAAAATTCAATTTAAAGTAGAAGAAATTAATATATATATATATATATATATATATATAAACCAAATGATAATAAAAATAGTTGCATTATTTGTGGCTATCAGTGGATTACCATTTCCCCAATTTTTTTTTTTTTTTTTTAAATTTAAATATTACAAAAATTATAATTGTTATAAAAATAAAAATAATAATAATAATAATAATAATAATAATAATAATAGTTATAATAATCAATAATGAAAATAATATTAATAAAAATAAAAATAATAGTAAAATTAAATGATTAGCTAATGAACTAAAATAAGATTTCATTAGCTTTGATCAGACTTGTCCATACAGAAACACAATTTACATAAATATTATAAAATGTAATGTATGGATGTAACAAACTTCTAACAATCTTGTTGTAGGTTTGTGTATAATTTTGTTAACATAATTCAATTGATAATAAAAATAATTAAAATTTGATTTAAGTGTAAATACAAATCAATAGAAGGACGCTACTGTTTAATGGCATTATCATGTCTTAGAGTTAACCTTAAACCTAGAAGGAAGCACACATCATCAAGCATAGAAATTTGTATGCTTCTAATGCAAAATGTTTTACATTTAAACTGAAGAATACATTAACCAGTAGCCATAAGGACTCAACAAATTAGGCAAAACAGTAATTTAAACAGTAGTTTTTTAAAAAAAAAATACAATTCAAATAGGATATTTAAATGTTATCTTATTAAAGATCAAAAAAAGGGTGAAATTAATAAAATTAATAATTTTCTTACGATATAACAATACAAAATATTATAATTTATCGCATTAGAGAGAACCAGTCTCATATAATTATAAAGGTTTTCCTGTATAAGGTGCTGGATATAATGGATATCCAAGACCTACATGTGTATGATGGTGTGTATGTACATGTCTTTGAGGAGGTGGCGAACGACAGTCTTTTGGGTCACCAGTTGATCCAGATTTACCAGTAGATTGAGTAGATGAAGGAGGACCAGTAGAAGTAGTTCGTTCAGCGGTGGACGGTACAATGCCAGTTGAGGTTAAAGAAGGAGATTGTCTTGTGCCTGGTGATTGAGCTGGTGTAAGACCAGATTGTGCATTTGGTTTCGGTGTTGGAGATTTAATGGCACGTTCTTGTAATTCATGTATTTTATGTGAAGAATAAAATTGACTAGCGTGATGTTGTAAGAGATCAAGAGCCGCCTTAGGCCCAGATGGAGGTTGAGAAGGAGTTGTTGATTGTGTAGAAACAGCTGGTCGAGAGAGATCTTCAGGTGCATGATACCGTTGCATTTGTGCATGTAATTGAGGGTGTAAATAAGATGGTGGCGGAGTATTACCATATGGTCCTGGCACTAACATTGGATTCATTGCACTTCTATACATGGGATCAAATGCTAAAGCGCCAGCAAAATGAGGAGGTTGCATATATCCTGGATGTATATATGCATATGAAGATGTAGGAGGTGGAGGAGGGCCTTGCGTTTCCATTGTAGGTTTAACTCCTTCTGATAAATGAGAAGAACTTTTACACATTTTTTCATCTTTTTTATCATCATGTTTTTCTTTATGTTTATGTATTGAGTTGGCTGCCATTGAATGCTTGGTTGGGGTACTTTGTGTATTAGATTTTGTATGCGAGTGATCTACAGAGCTGTGATCTTTACGTCTCTGATCTGGATAAACATAATAACGTCTTACATCGTCTTGCTGCTGCTGTTGTTGTTGTTGTTGTTGTTGTTGTTGGTGTTGTTGATGTTGTTGTTGTTGCTGCTGTTGTTGCTGTTGTTGTTGCCGAGAAAACATGTAAGCTGAATTCATTTGTGACTTCATTTCAATGCTTTCTTTCATAATTTGATGATGTTCATTTTGATGGGAAGGCTTTTCCTTTGGTATTATTTGATCAGATTTTATTTTTGGCTGGGGAACACTCAAAGAACCAGCCATAGTAGGTTGATGATTTTTATCTTCAACCTTTATTTCTTTATCTTGGACCATTGACATTGGATATCCTTGTCCGATATTATAAGGATAATTTTGAACAAAAGCATCATAAGTAAAATACTGTTGTAAAAGCTTTTGTTGCTGATAATCAGGTGCTTGATTTGATTGTACATCTTTTTTAATATCTTTATCCCCAGATGACATTTTCAAATCTTGTGAATGTTGATTAATTTTTTCACCTTCTTTTATTTGTTTAGCTGTCTCATTTGGTTGTACCGAAGAAATTAAATAAGGTGGTTGACCATAATAAGAAGGGTAAATATTATATGGCTGAATTGGATGAGGAGAATGAGCTGTATTAGGTTCAGACTTTTTATCAGTGGCTGATAATTTTTGTTTATTTACATTATCATTCATTTCAACTTCAAGAATTGGTGCAGTATCATCAGAGATATCAGAATATGCTGGACTTTGAACATCTTCACGGCTACAGTTAGAACTATCAAACTGCGGCTGATCAAGAGAAAAAGGTCTAGGACTGCTAGCTGGTGATTTACGATTTTTCTTTTTATGTGAAGATGTAGTGGTTTTATTTTTGTTATCTTTATTGATTTTTATAGTATCTTCAGCTGGCATTAAAGCAGAAGCTGGTTTTACTTTGAACTGTGGTACTTTTTGGACTTGTGGTTGGTTTAATGCTAAAGGTTGAATTTGTGGAGGTGTAGGTAACTGTTGTGATGCTGGACTTTGTACATGTAAAATTGGAGGTTGAGGTTGAGGCGACTGCGAAGTAGGAGCAATTATTTGCAATGGAGTAGCTGGCTGTAACAATGGTGGGGGAGTTGGAGCTGGCTGAACAACAGGAACTGTTAGAACTGTTTTAGGTGCAGTTGAAGAAGAAGTAACACTATTGGTTTCTTCATTCCCAGAAAGGCCAAAACGCAGAACACTTGGTTTAGCAACCAAAAGAGGGGGTGACTGTAATGGTGCTGGGGGATCTGATTCGGTTACTGGTGGAGTTGTAGAAGGTTGTGGCTGTTCAATAATAGGTTGGATATTGGTAGTAGGTTGGTCTTCTTTTAGGTTTTCTTGAATACTTGAATTATTCAATGAAGCAGGACTAGTGTCATCTTCATTTTCAGACGTGCTTGCTCCACCTGATTCTTTAGTGTCTGCATCTTCATCATCCAAAGCAGCACCGTGTGCATGGGACTGATGATATCTTAAGCCATTAGCATTTTTATACTTTTTAGAACAATTTGGTTCAGGACATTCTAACATAGTAGGTGACATAGGCGGCGGACTTGCTGGCTCTGCTTTTATTTTTTTTACAGAAGCTTCATCTTCAGAACCTGGTGGTTTCTTTCTTTTATTAGAGCTTGTTGAATCAGAACGTGGTGGAACAAATGATGTTGGAGTAGGTGATGATGTGCCTCTTCGACTTGAATTGTTACTGCTATTACATTTATTTGTTCCATTACTTCGAAGTTTACTATGAACTGAAGATCTGGTTTCAGTAAAATTTACCAAATCATTACTAGGACTAGCAGTTAAACTAGCACGGCCTCTTTTACCACGCCCCTTCTGTGGTAATCGACATTCTGGTTCTCCAGCAGATGCTTCAGAAAATCTGAATATGACATTTATATACATTTAAAATTAAAATCATAATAAATATTAGTTAATTTCAAAATTACCGAGGTGGAGCCCAATCATGTCTAGTACAGTCTAACAATGTTCCTATATATGTTTTTCCTCTCCATGTAACATTTACAACGAGAACACCTACAATAATTACAATTGTACATAATTTTGACTTTCAAAACTTTACCTTTGTTTCAAATTAAAAAAAAAAAAAAAAAAAATGCCAAATCCTTATTTTACTTTATTTAATATACCTTCAATTTCATTCCATACGATACCCTCTAAATTTACATGTGTTCCAGGTTCACATGGGCCAAAACAATCAGGTTCTGTAACAGTTCCAATACTTATACTGGTACCAACACAGGCATCAGCTGTTTCCTGGAAATTTTCAAATCAAGAATAAAAATATCAGATTCACTATAATAATATACTATACAGTGTATTATTATTTATATAATAATACACTATAGTGTCTCCTGAGGATTCGACAAATGTAATAACTTTTGTTCTTTTCAATATTTTTGATATACATTTGTTTTAAATAATTAATATGCTTCAATGCTACAGTTTTTATATGAACATTTTTTTTTAGGAGAGAGGGATTTAAAATTTTGGTATTATTTTTTTAAAAAATTTCAAAATAGCCATTTTGTAAAATAATTTTTAGAAAATATTTGGTGATTGAAACTTTGGTTGAAGTATAGTCTTTTATTTTCTATGAATTTTTCAACATAAATTACCATTATTGATTGATTGAAACTACCTAATAACTAAAACATTTACATATTAACTCATGGAAAACAAAATCTCGACTAATTACTGATAACTGAATAACCACAATAGGTAATATTCACATTTGTAAAAACTTTAAAAAATTATAGAAAATAAAAGATCATTCTTTTACAAAAATTTCAACCTCTAATAATATTCTGAATATCTATTTTACAAAATGGCTATTTTGATGTTCTTTTTAAAAAAATTATAGTAAAATTTAAAATTTGTTTATTTTAAATCTCCCTCACCATAAAAAAAAATGTTCATATATAAACTGTAACAATAAGGCATACTAATTATTAAAAAAAAAAAAAATGTATATCAAAAATATTGAATAGAACAAAAGTTATTGCATTTATCGAATCCTTGTGGGACCCCTGCCCTGTCCCCTAAATATTAAAAAGAAAATATAAAATAAATAAAATTATTAATTTTCTATAAGCAGTTAATCAAATGTAACTTTTGTAATGAATCATTATTCCTTACAATGATAAATATCAGAAACAAAATTATAAAATTACTTTAAACTTAAAATTATAATCATTTTTATAATAGTTTTATTTATGAACAAGAGTTAAATTATAAACAACTATTCCTATAAAACAAACAAAGATAACAAAACTTGTAATATATTATATATATAATATATATATACATATATATATATATTATATATATAATATATATATACATATATATATATATACCTTTTGTTCCATTAGGGAAGCAGAAGTCGAACTATTAGCAGTCTTTACTTTGTTTGTCGGGGGTGGGGAGGTAGATTGTTGTGGTTTTGCTAAGGTAGACAATGCCGTAGAAGACTTTGTAGTAGTTTGGGTATTTTCCAATGGAACTACTGGGGGTGATAAGTTTTGTTCTGGACCATTAGCTACACTTGAAGAAGTAGAGGTTCCTGCTTCTCCAACTGGTGGTCCAGGACCAGGTACATTAGGTGACTGTGTATTGCTTGATAAAGCTGGGAAAGTGCTGGTTCTAGGAGCTGATTGACTAACAGGACCTCGACCATTTAGCTCAGAAGACAAACTAGAATTTACTTTATGACACTTATCACCACTTGTAGATGAACTATGTTGTTTATCTTTAGTTTTATCTCTCCGATGACTGCTAGATCCACGTTTTACAGAACTTACAGTCGAAGTAGTAGTAGTTGAAGGAGTAGTACAAATGGTACTAGATGTACTGGAATGTTTACCTAAACCAAAATTATTTTATATATTTAACTCAAATTTTAAATGGTTATTGAAGTTTTGAAAAAATTGACTTACCAGTTTGTTTAGATTCGACAGAAGATCCAGATGAGTCATTTGAAGAGGCGCTGCCACTTGACTGAGATTGAGTGGAAGCTAAAGACCCATTTTGTTCGCCAGGTTTGACGATTTCATGTTTAGCTTCAAAGCTCTTAGTTCCTGTCTTTGTTCGTTTGATTTTCATTTTTAATCCTTTATCAACAGTAGCTGAATGCTCAACAGTAGCTTTATTGCTGCCAGCTGTAGTGGCTGTAGGTGCAGTGGCAGCTGCTCCTGACATGGCTCCACTACCAGCCGTTAAACCAACCGTTGTCGCCGCACTATTGGTAACACCAAGGGCTTCACTAGTTGATGTGGTCGATGTTGAACCGGTTTTTTCAATGTCAGCGTCTAAGTCGATAATTAAATCACCTATACCGATATCCCATTCATTATCGTCGTACTCAAAATTTGCATTACTGCTCGCATTGTTGTTGTTGCCATTGCCACTTCCAACACTATCTGTGGACGCCGCCACCGCCCCACCCAGCTCCTCTCTCATTGGGGCCGCCATCCGTGCCCAGGACCGCGAGCCCCGACCACTAACACCATTTTATCCTTTCCTAAAAATTTAAATAAAAGAGATATTATAAAGTATAGGTCTATATTAATAATAAATGTTAAGTATATGAATTAAATAATACAGACTATCAATACTATCTACCTATATTACTATAACTTATATTTGTTATATATTATATGCCCGATTGCCATTATTTATTTTTTTTCTCAATATAAGTTATTGATTAAGTTTAAAATAAGTACTAACATTTAACTAATTATTCAATTTCTGATATTGATAAATGCATATCTTGTAAACTTGAGTTTATTTCGTATAAATAAATAAATAAATTATTAAACATAATATTTAGTCATTCATTGCATAACTACATAATAAACAAGACATAGATACTTAAACAAAAGTTAGATAAATTAAACAAAAAAATCTAACCTAACCTTCAATATATATATTTTTATTAGGAGAATCAGCCAAAGTCTCCTTTAGAACTCCTCATACTGTTTGATAGTATTTCACACGGGCTGTCAACTAAGTCTCATGTGTCATCTCTTAAAGACAGGTACTGTGGTAGTATTCTGATCGCCTCCCACAGGGAAAATGATATTGTCAATTATACAAGTCAATTCTTTCGTCTACAGAAACAATACCATATGTCTACTGGAATCACCCACCCGGACTTTCCAACAGTATATGCTAGGGACCGTAAGTTCTCTCAACCTGTAGAATTATATGACCTCCTCTTCCAGAGGTAAATATATTTTTAAATGTAATAAGGGAATTAAAAGTGTAATTTTGAGTCTATTTTTTTTTGCTTTTTCAATCACCTTTGTAAGATACGAAAATTGTACTCAATTTAAAATATATTTATTATATATTGTATAGGTTTAAAATAAGGTAGGTACCACAGTATCTATTATTATAATTATTTGTTTTGAAAATCGCCATAAATGATATTAGTACCTAACCTGGCTAATTATAAATAAATATTTATAAAAAACTAGTATTTTTGTTAGGCTTAGTGCTAGTAGCTATAGAGTGACACATATTTTAATAATAAATTAATATTCCCAAATTTATAATTGATATATTGTGATAAAAAACCTTAAATTGGCAATTCCCAAAAAGATTTTTATCAATACTTAAATATAAGTTTTGAAAAGTAAAATTACCCATATTATTATTTATATAGAAAGAAATTGATAGTAAAACTTTGAATTTCATAATACAGTTCAAAACTATTGTATGTTTATTATTATTTTAAGAAAAAATCCCACAATTAGGTAGGTACCTAACTATTTATAATTACTAATTATTTTAAAATCAGTAGCTATCTTTATATGAAGTACAAACTAGGATAATATTATATTTACCTAATACAACCGTAATATAAAATCAAAATATTTTGTATTGAATTTATACAAAATTATAAGTAGGTATTAAATATTACTAATTTATCACATAATAAATTAAGGCACTGGTAATTTGAAAACTAACTAAAATTGCAGTTAAAGTTATATAATTAATAAATGAATTAAATAGGCAGAGAAATTATCAAACAAAATAAACTTTTTTTCTTCAAATTGAATTTTGATTTCGTAATCTCATACAATTGACACGGATTACCAGTTGGGAAACAATGATGTAGAATACATACTATTGACACACAGATATAATATCTCAACATTAAAATCATATAGTGTTATACTATTATTGAGTACGTTCGTCTATAAATTCTGTATACTAAATATATTGTTATAATAATATTAAACATTAAGTACTTAATATAGAATTCATAATATTCATAAATGACAATTAACATTATCTCTTTGATAACTAAGAATTATCTACAATTTATTTTGGAAATACCTATTTATATTATTCTAATAAAACTAATTTATGGTTAATGAATATTAAATATAGTAACTACCTGGGTCGCTATGTTGAGCTTATTTTTAAAATAAATATTATCAGAAATTGTATGTACCTACATAATACGCACAATACCTTAATCCTTTTTTCTTAATATATATATTGAAATACTTATCTAGTGTAAAAATAAAAGTATGTAGGTAAGCACCTACGTATTCATATTTTAATTTATATGAACAGCAAAATGTGATAGATATTCTTAAATGAAAATAAATACACACAACCAAAAACGACTGGACATCATCATTTTGTTATTCGCAAACATAGGTATTTCCCATATTTTTAAAATCATTTTATCAGAGAAGCCAAATTTTAAAAAAAAATATCATAACTTGTACTTTAATATAGTCAATAATATGTATTCTACCTTTACTTAGGTCAATATTTTTCTAAATCTATTATTAATTCAAGAGCAAAAATCACTTTAGCCCTTTATTTTAAACTAGGAAAAAATAAAATAGGGAAATGGCAAAGGGATGATCATGACTATTCGGTAGGGGAATGCTGTCCGACAAGGGCAAACAAAATGCAAGCCAGTTTCTAAGCGGGCATTGTCTTGGTCAATGGAAATGCCTTTGACAACGATTCAGTAGTTAACAAATATTGTTGACTATAACGATGCAGAATTAAGAGTACCACTGTCCAGCCGAATAAAATGCGCGCGACAAACGAGTATGTACGCAATATTGAGATGGACACATTATTACGGTGTACTCACTAAATGTTATGTAATCCCGACGTAGAGGATTGTGTTTCTGGTATGGTACATCAAGATTGTTTCGGGGCAAAGAATAATTTGCAAGGTTCCTCGTCGGACTCGGCGGCCAAAAACGATGTTAACACAAACAAAATGGCTGATGCGCTTAGTCGGATCGTAAAATCGCAGAGCCGTGTGACATTTTACGCACGGTAACCCGGTGGTATGCACTCGTAGCACAATAGGCCGCAAATATATTCGATTATAGAACGACTGTACAGTTACACGACACTCGCGGTTCAGACCGGAACAAACGAACAGGAGAAAATCAGTAATTAAACTTTGCCAACATACGCCCGGCCTAAAGGAAAAATACGATAGCTGCTAAACGGTAAACAACACCCTTCGGTGATATGTTTTTTTTTTTTTTACATTTTCCAGTCCGTACACCTTGGACGTGCTTTGGACACGTTCTTTGTTTGTATTAACACTCGGTACAGAATTACACCGGTAGAGAGCGAGACGCGTATGTTTCATGATCGACAACACACGAGTTCGTTTACCGGTGGCTGGCGGGCACGGTCTGCAAGTATGTCGACCCCATATGCTCGACCCGCTCCCACCTCTATCTATTACAACCAATCATATCTCATATACATAACAACAACAATCATCATAATAATCAATTAATAACAATAACAATAATAATACGTCCGTTTTGTGTCTTGCACTCTTGCGTGTGTACATTTGAACATTTTAATACTTATAATTTTTCTATTTCATTGGTTTTTTCCACAGATATTAGTACTTTATATTTGTGGTACATTACTTCTTTAGAAAGTTAATAAAATTTTTTATGTCTAACAAAAAAAATAAATTAAATTTATATGAATTATTAGGTATAGGCATATATACAGTTGAATTTTTGTTAACAATCATGCTTGTACTTTTCTTTCAGTACCTTTTACCAAGTAACATTTAATTTACTGCTACATAAGTACAACTAAAGAGCCTAGGGAATATTTAAACATTTATTATTTAGTTAACATATTTTATTAGTCGATTAAAATATGTAGTAACGTTTAAAACAACGATATACATTAAATATCTCCGTTTTGACTTACTATCAACTAAATAATATATACGTGTACTAGGTACCTATATTATTTGTTTAATATACTTTATGCATTTTTGTTTACTGGGGTACAACCATTTATTTAAAAAAATAATTTGAACATTATTATAATAATATGTTATATTTAAATAAAATAAATGACTTTACATTTAATAATCATTAGCACTGATGATCAGTGTTCTAAATATTATTTATTTATGTGTTTATTGATAATATTTATAATATAATTATTTTTATTCTGGAATATGTATTTTTTAATTTTCCATAAGTATTTTCGATTTTCAAACATCTTTGATGTTTTGCAAACCTATAACATTGCGAGATTGCCGCTCATTTTATTTATGATAATCACGGTTTAAGATATCTTAAATCGTGATGATAATAGATAAGTGATATTGGTAATATTATTTAAATCGAAATATCAATTCACTTTTTTTGGTTTTTTTAGAAATGAGTGATACTTTTTCTTATAACAATAAAATAATAAATTAAAATGTACTGCGATAAAGTGATAGAATTGTTAAAAGAGTTGGAACGTTCCCGCGAAGATACTATACCTCCATATAATGTACTCAATAACACCTAATACTTTATCTAAATAACGAGTATTTTATTTAACATATTTATTATATTGTATGATTCTATGAGTTAAAGTTAATTACAGTTTGCAATCTAATTTACAGAATGATGGAATAAATCAAGTACTTTCTGAAATGAAAACTTTGGATACTGAAATTTTGGATATTTTGTAAGTATACAACTGTTGTTTTAAACAGTAAATAGCATTCATTATTTAATAGTAAAACATATTATGTGTTTTTTTATAATATTTCTATAATAAATGTAATGTAGACATAAAAATCCAAGAGATAATTTGCCCATGGATGCAGTTCGCCTACGACGTGCAGCTATAGAAAGAAATAAAAGATGTTTAATGACATACATGTAAAACTATTGTATTAATTAAGTTAATTAATAAATTAATAATAAATGCATATTAATTTTAGCTGGACTAGATTGCAGCGGTTAAAAGAAATGCGTTGGGAAATTGGTGCTATTTTACCGTCAGATGTAAGGCAAAATCTTTCACAGTCGGAGGTGTGTTTTTTACTTTGAGTATTAATATTATAGTGTAAATAATATGTAGGTGTTTTACATTAATTTCTTAACTAGTTATTTTTTTTTTTTTAGATAGAATGGTTTAATAATTATTGTAAATCATTAGTTTCATATATGAAGACCATAGGACCAGATACTGGACTCAATTTAACTCAAGACACTAAACCACCAAAGTCACTTTATACTGAAGTAAATATTCAAAATAAATTATTAAATTTATATTTCTTTGAATATACAGTGAATTCTGCATAATGTAAGCATGGAACCAGTCACATTTGCCCATATTAATTGGCCAAATACATCAAAATTAGTTTAAAAATAACAATTTTTAATTTTATAAAAGTTTTTATTTTGTACACACAAACCATAAAATTGTAAACAAATTTAAATTAATAATTATATAGGTCTTTATTTATGTATTTACTTAAAAAAAAATACAAAAAAATAATGAATAATATTATATATTAGATAAAATTACAATTAGGACATAAGAGATATAAAAAACAATGTTAAACCATATCTAAGGGCTGGATTAAAGATGGATCGTATTTGGTAGCAAGAATTTTAAAGTGATACTTTTGAGTTCAACACATTTTGAATGTGCATCTCAGTTATCAACGAGAGGAAATATGGACCTATTTTTGGTCTATTGGTTGGATTTTGCGTGTAGTTATCCCATTCTCACAGCTAGTTTGAAAAAATGGTTAGTCATTCATTTATTTTTATTTGTTTGGTAATGATCTGGACAACTGCCATTTTTCCATGAATAAATGTTTAAAGCGCTTAGGTTTTAAGCTTTTACCCACTACTAGCAACTTTCTCTTATAACCAGTCATATTTATATTTATTTAGCACAAAACTGTAATCATTTCTGTTGCCTTTTTTGAACCGATAGCACGTCTTTTTTGAAACATAAAGAACTGTCAAGTATCACTCACTAATACATTCCAGTTTTGTTTACATCAAATGTTATTTGAGGCAAATAACATATTTTTTGTGACATTTCGTTGAAATTTAAATTTAATCTGAAATTATTGTTATCTCTATAACAATTCTTTCCTCTGAAAGAAAGCAATACATTTTTATTTTTATTACTTTTGTTAAACATAATCTCATAGATATGACAAAACCCAATTATATTAGTCATTTTAAAATATACATAAATTCTAACATTATGATAAAATAAAAATAAATAAATAAATGATTTTTTTTTTGACCTTGTACGATATACATTGGAACTGGTACTAGATCATTTTGCCCATAATAGGTGGTTGTCTTTATTAAACGGAATCCACTATATATATTTTTAAAATACAAATTTAATTTAAGTTATAATGTATGTACATTTCAAATTCTCTTAGAATATTATTAATCCTTGGGCTTTTAAAAAAATTTGATTAAATACAAATTTTAACTTATTAAGTTAAAATTTGAAATAATATTTTTATTATATTTGTTTTTGTCATGAACCTCAAAATTATAATTTTATTAATTAGATATTATAATTTTCATATGTATTAACCAACTTATTATTTACATTTTATGACGTTTTTTCCACAAATAAATATGTTTATTTATACATTATATAAATATTGTTTTTACTTTAGGTAAGAAGTTTAGTAGATGCTGGTAAATTGGAACTGGAAAGTGGAGAAGTTTTGATTCTAAGAAAAAATAGTCAGTATATGTTATCAAGATCACAAGCTGAACCATTAATTCGTCAGGGTATATTGGAACAAGTTAGACATTAATTCTATATCTAAGAAAAATGTTTATGTTTATTTTAGTATGATAAGATAATAAATTTGTAATAAGTAATAGATAATTTAATTTATTTAGTTCTTATTTTTCTGAGAGATAAAAAAATGCATTTTACAATACATTCATAACCCCTGTAATTTGGCAGAGGGGTTGGTACTAAAAAAATTTATTATTTTATTTTAAAATTATTATATTTTTTTAAATTAAAGATTCTTAAGAAAATTATTGAAATAAGTAGTTTTATAATAATTTGTAAATATATTTGTGTATGATTTAATTAACTATTTACTATTTAATTGCTTACGACCCAAGGTTAATAAAATATATATGTATATAAATATTAAATAATAACCTTGTAATAATACATATCTATGTTAGATATATTTGGTAAGTAGGTCCCTATCATTATTCAAATTTAATGACAATATGAACCTAATATTATGGCATCTAAATAATTTTTTTAAAACAAAATTAAAAAATATTCTCAATTTTTATTTTCAAAAAAGAAAAATTAAAAATAAAGGGTGTCCTGTAATCTGCATTTGTTTCTAAGAAATCTTAATTAATTTATATTGTAACCGATTTCAATAAATTCATAATTTTCAGGGGAAAATGTTGTTTTATTATTACAGAATAATATCTGACACTCAAAATTGCTGTATCAGTTATATAGCATTAAAAAAACAAGAACAAGATACCTTTATTTAGTTAATTTATTTTAAAATATATACTGTTGAAACAAATACAATTTATCAGACACCTTTTTTTCTTTCGTAAAATTGTGTTTTAATGTATTTGAATATTTTTGCGGAAACCATTATTAAGGAAGTTATGGAAATTTGAAGTTTATTGTTTTTATGGTTTCACTTAAATACCTACCTAGTTGATTTTCTATTATTTTTTCTCATTTGACCATGGCGCATTGGATAACGATATCTTAGAAATAATTGCTGTATAAGGCTCAAAACTTTTTTCATACGTTAATTAACATGCGTGTAATCTTCGTATGTGACTTCAACAAAATATTTCGATTTAATTTTATGAATTGTTTAATTCTAATCTAATAAGGGTATGCCAACAGAAGCGCACATTCTAAAAACGCAATAACTCGACAAAAAACAATCAAAATTTCAAGAAAAAAATGTATTGTAAACATAAACATTTCCAATTTAATGATGAAAAATAATGTCGAGTAAATGTCCACCTCCGTGATCCCTACATGTAATAATGTGATCCTTGAAATTGGTCATCACTTTCGCGCACATCTCTCTGTCGATTCCGTCAATTACTCGCCTGATTTCTTGCCATTATCTGATGGCTTCAAGTCTTGTGTCAACTGAATCTTATATAGATGCAGATGAAGCTCTTTTTTCAAAACTCAAAATTTTTTCTCAGTTGCTGTGAACGACGGCGAACAGATTTATGCGGACTCACTTGAACACTGTCTTGCACTATGACTACGTTTGCTGGCGATCGAATGGTCCTCTGATGGGTAGCTTTCATGTCTACAACTGAGCCAGTTTTCTCGAATTGTTCTAACAAACGAGTTACAGTCGCTCGCGATGGCGCATTGTTTCGTACGAAACTTTTGCAACGTTTCAGCGACACAGTCTCTGCACTTGGAGTGCATTTTCACTATGGTTACACGTTGTTCAACTATAAACCTCACCATGACGACGATTGCCAAAAACTGCTTGCATTGACAAATGGGAGATGTTAGAATAATAGAAAAATATTGGAACATGCTACCAACCCAAAAACAAAAAAAAATTCCTACGTTCTTAAAATGTGCGCTTCTGCTGAGACACCATTTAGAATGCGGTCACTTAGACTATTTTAAATAAAATACCCCTCAATTTGTTGTGAAACCAACTTTGGATAGGTATTAAGAAAAAATCAAAAAACATTATTAAAGGTGCACCTAGAGATCCGGCGGCATATTAATATACTGTACCTGGTCAATTGTTATACTGCACCCGATATGTAATTATGATTTAAATAGGTATTCGTAAAACCATTTTAAAAAAAAAACCCGCCGGAGGGAGGGATGAGGACATATTTATGTTATTTAAAAATGTACATGTTCGTCGATATGGAGACGCGTATATAGTACGAAAATATTTTATTAGAAAAATATTTACGCCGAACCATATTTTAATAGAAAAATACCTATAAAGGTGATAACACTGTTATCTCAAACCATCTGTTAAACGCTGAACCATGAATTAAGATAATCCAGATTATAGATAATCCATTATGCAATATCTATGGATATACCTTATATCTTAATTCGTGCGCTGAACATAAGTGGTTTCTATATTACAGAGTACGGTTCATGTATACTTAGATATATTAGTTCATACCCCTCATTACTCAATGCTCAATATTAATTAATTATATAGATTAATCTATGGCATCAATCTATCTTTATTAGTATTATCTACAACCAACTACAACTTTACTGTGGACATAGATTTAAATATATTTAGCTATGCTGTTGCTTGGCTTTTTAACAGCGCGCTCTACTTGTATTTAATATAACTGATTTTCTAACTAAATATGGTTCTAATAAATTATTATTTGACTAAAATACTTATAGTCAAACATTTTTCTGCTCGAATATTATTCGAAAATATGTTTTCTACCGAATTATTTTCGAACAAATTATAGGTCACCCACGTTGATACGTGTATAATATACAGACCTATAAGAGTATTTACTAAGTTCATAGGTCTATGTGTTTACATCACGTATCTTGTTTAAGTCACTTAAGGAGATTAGACGCGTGTTAACGTATAAAAAAATGTCACAAATTTTATTACAACTAGATAAGAAGTATCGAACCTTATTCAGCAATTTCAGGCGTTTATTCAATGCACCATGGTCAAATGTTTGAACAACAATTAGGTATCTAAACGAAACCCTAATAATGACAAACTTCAAACTCCCATAAATTTCTTAATAATTTTAATATTATTAATAATAATTCTTAATAATCAATTCATACAATCATAAGGTTAAACTCTAAATCCCGTAGACTCTAGGTATGAACGCAAGAGTATTCTAGTGTTCATGATCTTACTATTAATTAGGTACCATATAAATGATAATAGTATTCTATACGAAGTATAAGATATCATTTTTTTTTTATTACGTCTTCACTGATAAGCCGTCATGTCCTATCCATTAGGTGTTTAATTTTTTATTGACGGAACATTTACCCCGTAGAGATGATTCACCCCGAGGACTGAGAGGCGTGGTCAATTCGAACGGATCAAGAGAGATAGACTGATATAAAGCCTAGTGTTATAGAGAAAGTAAATTTACTCTCCGAAGACAGCCAATTAAAATACTCCGTTTATTATCTCCGATGTACATGTCCTCGATATGAAACTCCACCCACCGGAAAGTGTTTTATGTATGTTTCTGTATGTTCCGTTTAGATCATATTCTATATTCTAGATCAGCGGTCCCCACTACGCGGCTTGACTCTTATGAGTGCCTATGAATTATTACTGCCACAAATTAAAATAATTCTCACTTACTATTTAATACAATAATTATCGTAAAAAGTGTTGTACAATAATTTATTCATGATATGTTGCCTATTGCATTGAGATAGGCTCACAATTAAAGATAATACTATCTATAGCTGTGGTTAGGCTTGAGTTATCAGTAAATTCAGAAGTGCACCATCTGGTTTTATGTAATCTGTGGTTGCATGTTATATTTTCTAGGTGTTAAGTACACATGTATTTTTCAGCTGAGACTGATTTATGTTTTTGTTATCTATGCATAGATCTATGATCGAATCTGAATCCGTGTTATTGTTTAATGATTATAGTGTAGACTGTGCTTTCTACGACTTGATGCTTCCTTAGAATACTAACTTTACGCGATACTACACTTTTTAAGTACTAGTTTTGATGTTCTTATATTCATTATATTGTTATATGTGTATTAAACATGTAAAATGGTGCTAGAATCTTGTTCTGTGAAAAGATTACTGTACATGATTTTATTTATAGGAGGGTAAATATTGTTTAATATATTATTATTATATATTATTTACATAAAATAATAAACACTAAAATATAAATCAAATATTATTTAAGTTACCTATTGATATTGATTTCATTTAATTGCAAAGATTACTAATACTATATTTATTTAGTTTAAATCTCAATAGATTATAATATTTAAGTTTCCATTATGTTTTTACAATGTCCATGTAATGTGAATCTCCATACTATACAATGTAATGTATCATTATGTTTAGACTTAAGTAGAATTACATAGGTTTTTAATAATAATATCAAATTTTTTTATTTTAGAATAACAATATTAATATTTTTGAAAATTACATCTTCAAATGTTTTAACTGGACTTAATGCTACAGTAATAACAGAAATAGCAGAAAGTATAAAAGATCACAAAAACTCATCAAATAGGTGTTGGTTGAGAGAAGAAAATACTATAATAAAAGAATGTCATTCGTGTATTAACAGGCCTGAATGCATAAATACAAGTTTTGTTGAAACAATAGAGTGCAAATTTTCTGGACTGGCATATAGAAAGTATGTACTTATATTATTTTGTTAAACCAGAATTCTGTATCGTAAATTGCCTTTCATTTTAATCATTTAAGTATATTTATTTTTATGTTTCTTGTAAATTTAATTATTTATTCTGTAGGACACCTATTAAAATAAAATGTATGTACCTATATATTATATAAAAAAAATAAATATGATCAAAACATAACATTGTTGGTCAACATAAGATATATTGTTTATATGAATTGAAAATAAAAAGGTGCCTAACTAAAAACCACACAAAGCAAAATAGCCACAGGAAAAGAATACAGTTATTGGCACCTAATGAAAACAGTTTTTATTTTGAAAAGAAGGCCCAGAAAAATCCCCATTATAAATTAATATAATACATCCAAAAAAAATAAAAAATTGCATTATAAAAAAAAAAAAAAAAAAATAAAGTACATCTTCTCTATATTCTATTTGTTGTAATGCGTATAACGAACCATCTAATATAATTTGAGTTTTTAATAAGTCTATTTGTTTTAGTCAATTTGTAGTCAATTTATCCATAATAGTTATTGTAAGAGTATTTGATTGCAATTTTTGTGGTAAAATTTTCACTGCATACATATGAAAAAAAATAATGTTTTTCAAATTTTCAACAGCAGATTCATTTTTATTTTTTAATAGGCATTAATTTACAAACAAGTCATTTTTTTTCCTAATATGTTTGTGTTTCTTTTTCTTAGCATGTGTTATGGTCCAAAGTTTATTTTTCCTATATTTCATATATTGCTTATAATATAATATTTGTGCTTGTTCTGATTTGTTTTATTTAATAGTTGCAACAAACCAACTTCACAAGAAAAATTGTTTTGGTTATTTCCATGTTCACAACTTTTGCTTGCCGCAATGAGCTTATGTGTTATTCAACACAAAAAAAAGCAATTCTATAAAAAGTTTATGAAAAGAATTCAAAATCAATTAGATTCTGTTGTATAGTAATGTATGTTACATTATTATCATTTTTTTAACATTGTATGAAATAATAATTTAATCGGTTTTAAAATATTTTTTAGTTGAAAATTATGTCTTCTTTATTTATTAATATTATTGATTTGGATGATGCCAATGAGCATGTTACATGTTCATTGCAAACAGCCATTGTTTTATTTGCTTGTCAATATTTGAAAACTCCAGTTGTTCTTGTTATATCTAAAAATACTGAAGATAGGCACAATGTACTCAAATTCTCAGTTTCATATTTAAGCTATACAGTTATACTAGAAAATGATTTGCCTAGACCTGCATCTGACTGTTTATTACCAGTATTCCAAAGTGATAGTGGATATTATTGTACTGCAGGATTTTGCTCATCATTGCGAATGGTATGTTTCTATCATATTATACTAAATAAATAGAATTATTTTTGAATTTTGTTTTTAATTTACTTTTTAGTTGATAAAGAGTATTGATAAGAAATGGATTTGGCTACTAGGTTTTAGACAAGGTTGTTTATCTGCTTGTGCTGAAGTATCAACGTGGACAAAATATTGTGAAGTTCAATTACAGGCATCAATGAATATATTTTTAAATTATAAAATGACAAATGATAATATTCCGTTTGAAATCCCTATACAGTTGGCTCGATTTGAATGTCATCTATCTCAACCATTGCGAATACATAATATTAATAAACGTTTGAATAATTCATTCCATCCGACTCAAAGATTTGCTGATGAAGAGAATCCAACATTATCAGATATTCTAATATTGCCAAATATTTATATTACCCATGAATTTTTGGGAGAAAATACAATGAATACATTTTTACCATTAACTTTAAAATGGTATAAATCTGTTTTGGAACATTTTGATTGCAAATTTATTTTAGAATGTCTAATTTTTGATAGAGTTCAATTACCAAATAATTTTATTTTGCCTGAAGTTCCAATCCAATCTTTATACAAATGTGATTTACGTCGTTATAATCCCAAAGCAAAAATATACGTCAAACAAAATGTACAAGATATAATTCAGGTATTTGATACCATAAATATTAATATGGAATTGAGCTCTAATAATCTGCATCCTATTAACTGGGATGAATTACCTTATGAGGTCCATCCATCTGGTGGTAATATACCTGATAAAAGATTGATGAGAAAAACACAACAGTTAGAAAATCTCATTCATGCTACATTACAAGTACCTAATACAATTTTAATTTTGTCTATGGATTTATTAAATGCATTACCATTCATAGATTGCAAAAGACGGTGATACTGTGGTTGATTTCTGTTGTGGAAGTGGGCATTTAGGAATTGTAATTGCTTATCTTGTTCCTGGTTTAACAGTTATATTGGTAGACAATAAAGAAGAATCATTACGGAGAGCTAAACAGCGTATTGAAAAATTAAACTTAAAAAATGTTATGATTGTTCATTCTAATTTGGATTATTTTAAAGCTAATTTCCAAGTAGGATATATTTCAATAATACAAAAATAATTTTAAATACAAATTTATAATTTATTAGTTAGGATTGTGTTTGCACGGATGTGGTGTGGCTACAGATTTAGTGTTAGAAAAATGCCTGTTGCAATGTGCAGCATTCATTATATGTCCTTGTTGTTATGGTGGTGTTCAAGTAAGTTATAATTACTTAATGAGGTACATAATTCATTATATATGTATATATATATATACATTACTTTTGTACAGGATAACCATATTCTAAAGTATCCCCGAAGTCAGGCTTTGAGACAAGCCAATTTTTCATTTGAAGATTATTTAGTATTGTGTCATTGTGCTGATCAAACACATTTTAATCCAAATTGCACAAAAACTCAACAAGGTTATACTTGCATGGCTGCAGTAGACACAGATCGTGCTACTCGAGCAATAGAAGTTGGTTATAGTGTGAAACTTACCAAATTGGACCCGCCAACATGTACACCAAAAAATAATATGATTATTGGAATCCCATCATTAATGAAATAAATACTGAATATTATATTATACCATTTTTTTTTTTATATTATTAAACATATTAGTATAAGATGTACAACTAATTACTTATGTCTTATTAATCAAGTACATTATATTTAAAACATTAATAGTATTGGTACAAATGCAACAAAATAAAAGTAATTTAAAATTAAAAACAACAGAATTCAGATTAAAATTTATTGGTTAATTCAATCTGAATAGAGATCAGATTTTAAATAATACTAATAACAATTATAAATAATTTAAAATATTTAATGTGACTATAATTGTATTATTTTTAAAATATTAAGATGTTGATTATAACTTAAAGAAATGTTGGTAAATAATGACTACAACATATTCGTCATAACTTTGAGTCTGATGGTGTTGTTAAAGGCGATATATGTCTACATTTTGGTGTATAATTTTTAATTATTAATTTTTTTGGTAAATATTCGTCTGTATGATGTAATCTATGCATAACACGAGAATTAAAATAATTCATAGGTTTATCCAATTCATATTGTATTTCCATTTGTTTTTCAAAATAATTAAATATTCCATCTCCTAAAAAATTGAAAAAGAATAATTTTAAAATGCATAATATATTATTTTTAAACTACAGTGAAACTTTGATAAGTCAAATTAAAGGGAAATGTAGTTTTGTCAACTTATCGAGATTTTTGGGAAAAAACTTAACTTGAGAGTTTTTAAAATGTATGTACGTATTACAGTTTTTAATTATTATATAGTATGTATATGTATATATAACTAAAGTGTGTATTGGTATTATTATTTTAAAATTGTATTACTAAAGTATTACATATGAATGTAATGACAATGAGTTAAACGAGAAATACTATATATACAATACATGAACAAGATTAGGTTAAATTATGGGACGCACAAGCCGATTAGACAGACGATTATAAAAAATATACATCTCTATTCAGAACACAGAATGTTCGAATCATATAGTTTTTCGCAAGGGAATGGCATTTATTTTGACTTATCATGGTTCCACTGTAGGATAATATGGTATATTAATATAATATTAATACAAATTTATTAGATTCAAAACAAAGCAAGGGATCTATTGGTTTGACTATAAAATGTGATTTTTTTTTGTCTGTAAACAACTTTTTGAACAGAAAACTTGCTCCATTCGAAAACTGACAAGTGACTTGTTTTGTTAAATTTTGGATCTAGTTTGGTGCATTTTTTGATTTTCCAAGAGATTTTATAATTGGGAAATTGGGACATACCGGCAACAGAACTATAAGAAAAACTTTATGGTGTTACTGATGTCGTTTTTAATTCGTATGAATTATATTTTCTATCAGAATTTGCTTTAATCAAACAATTCCAAAAAAGCTATTTTTGTTTGATTTTAGATCTAATTGATGAGTTAGAAGGTCGTTTTTTCATTTTCCCTATAGTTGTTTTAATAATTGTTCAAAACCGAAAAAAAACCATAGAAAGAACTGGGAAATATACAAACATAACGGTTCATGGATAACCGTTACAGTTGGATATCAGAGATAATATCTTGTGTATAACAAGAATAAGTTTTATTCTTAAATTTTATTTTGTTCCAGAACAGTTGGAATTTTGTAGATAAGTTACTTAATATTAACAAATTTAAGCTTTAATATACATAGCACAAAATTACATAGTCGACTGATTTTCTCCAAATTGGCAAATTAAAATTAAGAAAACATTTCATTTATAGGATTGTATAAATTCAATTTGGTAAATAATCAGGTAAATTGTTTACCTGGTAGTAAAGTCAAATAGCCATCTTTGGTAGCAATAACCCTTGGTAACACTTGTTCACATCCTTCAATACTTCTTTCACGTGCAAAATTAGTCAATTCTTTAATTGATATAAATTGTTTCAATCTTAATAGTTCATAAAATTGGGGAGTAACAAGTTTTTCAATTCCAACAATAAATCTTGATAATATTTCATCTGGCGTACTCCACTAATTTATAAAATAAAATATTGTGAAACAAATACCTATTTAAATTTAACTGTACATTTAGTAATTTACTTACTGACATTTGAGATGTTTCAATACCATCAGGACTTGCGTTGACTGGAGTATCAATAAAAGCAATAAAAAATTTTGTATCAAATTTTGTTTTAAGTATTGAAGGTGTCAGCCAATTACTCCATAGATGTAAGGCACCTACATCTGGATAACAATTGTTCTGATTACATAAATCAATAAAATTGATTGCGTTTTTCCGAACTAATTTTCTCCATTTGTCTATACTGTCTATTTCTAAATGATTGGCTTTACCAGAGTTTTCAGCAATTTCATGGTTTATTTGTTTGCATAACAATATACCACACTCCTCAAACGTTTCTCTAATAGCAGTAACTCTTAAAGATAAATATTTTGGAATAGAACCAGGCTCATTATCAGATACAAATTTAATAGCTGGGTTACCTAAGAAAATTACATTATTTTGTGATTTTGAGAATATATAAAAACAATATAGATAAGTATATAATAATTCATATCTTACCATTATAACCAATTATATTTATGTTTAAGTTAGAATTCATGTAGTCTGGAATAATATTTGTCCATTCTAGAGAAGAGTCTGATTTTTCTGTAGTTCCACCAGGAAAGACTATATAATTTGGTAAAAAGGAATTAATTTCACTTCTTTTAATGCATAATATTTTAAAAGAATCCCAACAGACGGTTTTCATATTTTTCACATTTGAAGATTTTGTTAATAGTATCACACTAGACGCTTCTCGCCAAAAACCCATAATAAAAAAATTTGTATGATCACTATACACGATAGAAAATAACAATAAAAAAACACTTGGTTTTAATTTTTTTAAATTACACCAAGTACTAAAACGTTGTCCACTTAAGTTTTGATTGACAATATAATACCAACAATAATTGTTGGCAATTAATGTCATTTGACCACATTATAGTATTATATATAATATACATAAATACTAAATAGTATAAATATTTAATAGTTTATAACCATATTATCTCATCTCTATATCTATAGAATATTATTAATATTCATAAACCAAAATAAAAAACATTACAAAGCTAAAACATTTAAAAAATTGTTAGTGGGGATCGTACTATCATAGAAATATAAAACATGTTTTATATATCTGTAGTAGGGATGTATTTTGACAAGTGTTTATATACATCAACCAATAGGAATTGGCCAAATAATTGATATCAAAACATTGATAGTGAAAGGATTAAAAAATGTCAGATAATAAGTAATCGAACATTTCCATTTAATGTTAATTAAGTAAAAAAATACATACATAAGTATTAATTGCGTAGTTCTGTGTAAATTATAAAAAAATTATTGTCTAAACGTAAACCAGGAATCGTTTAGTGGTAAGTGTACGTTTAATAGGCTACATGATATTTCATTAAATAGCTTTTTTACTTTTGTATTGTTAAAATACCTAATTTTAATTAACTTACTACTTTGGACTAGTATAATACAATATTTTTTTATTGGATACTATTCTAATTTTGTATTATGAAATAAAATGTAGTTATTGAAAAACCTATACCTATTGAATCAACAGTTTTTTATTAAAGCATTTAATTTTAAGGCTGAGAGTACACTTATGCAGTGATGCAGCCATAGATCCTAACCCATTTATACATATTTGTATCTGTTCATAAACCTTTTTTTTTGGGTTATTGATAGTTTCATGACAGCGCTTGCATAGTTTTAGTGTCTGCTTGGCTTAACTAAGAGGAATATGATAGTGTGATGACATTTTGTAAATTGTATAGTTATTTTCTGTCACTCCAAACCATTAATCTAAACTTCAAATATTTTAAAATAATTTGGCACAAAAGTTATATTAACTAGGTATAGTAGCCCAACCAAGAGGGGAACTGTTTTGAGTATCTGGTAATACTTTATCATCTGTTTTACTAATATCAATTTATTAAAATGTGATAAAATTGTATATTTTTTATATGGAGATATGTGACACCCCCCTTCAAAATATCCGGGTTAAACTACTGGCTAGATATATGCTAAGATATTCATAAAATATTCTTTTTTAGAGTACCTGTGACATTAAATGCACCTAGAAGTTATTATTTATATAAATTAAAAATTCACTTAATAATCTTATAGTGTGTTCAATGAAATACACATGTTAATAATTTTTACATATTCATTAAATATAATTTCTTTTTAAATAGCCAATAATGGATATTGGTTTCCAAGATCCATGGATTACACTTACTATTAAAGCACCAAACCAACAAATTGATGACCAGACAGTAAAATGTAAACTAGATTGGTCAGTTGCAAAACTCAAAGGATATATACGTGAAACCTATCCCAACAAACCAGTGCGTAATTTTTGTTTTAATTTGTTATTAATTAAGAAGGAGTCATAGTTAGATTAATCTTATTTGATAAATAAAATAAAATTTGTTTTTAACAGAAAACAGAGGACCAAAGATTAATATATTCTGGTCAACTTTTAACTGACAGTATTATTTTGAAGGATATTTTAAGGCCTTATGATGAAGATGGTCAACTTAATCGTATTGTCCATTTAGTGTGTGCTTCTTCATCTTCTTGTATCCCACCTACAAGTAATTATTACATTTATTTTGTTATGTATTAAAAAAAAAATATATATATTGCTTCCATCACACCAACAGTGACCAAACAATTTACAAATTTAAATTTTATAAACTTCAATTTTAATTATAATTTTATTGTATTTTGATTTGAATAAAGAATAATATGTGTCAAGTGGTTTATAAATTATTTATGATATCACCCGGAAAAGCTTTTTTTCATATATTTATATTGGGATGTTGAGGTATTTAATAATTATCATAGTTTCGTGATCACGTTTTGTTCATGGTCATTTTTGGCATGACGACGACAATAGACTAATATTTTTATGTCCACAACAATATTAAATACTGAATGTACAATGTATTAAAAATGATATGTTTGATAATCAATTCAGTCCTACTGAAGTTCTAAATATTTTTGGATAGTTTATTCATAAAAATAGTTAATCATCTAGAAAATTATTATTTAAACAATCTTTCACTACTTATAACTAATAAACTAAAAAGTAAATAAATGTATAAATAAAAAATGTATATTTAAAAATAAAATAAATAAATAAATGAATGAATGTGTCTCCTGGAATATTATAATAAGTATGTAACTCAAAGCGATATATTTATTCATTTATTTTATTTTGATATATACATTTTTTTATTTATATACGAGTATTAACCATTTTAATAATTTTGTTTTTATTTTTTATTTTATTAATAATCTATATTTTGTTTTTTTATTTTATCATTGACCTATTTCATTGAACTATAAGTTATAAGTAATATGTATTGAATAAATATTATTTTACCATCATAGTGTGTCTAAACAAAAGTTAATACTTCATAAAAATAGATGTCTCATTTTGAGTTATGAATGAAGTAATATTATTTTTCAATTTTTCATAAAAGTTAAATTTTAGTTATAAATTATATTAGTGTGTATACTTATTCTTTATTCAATAATATCTTATAATCACTTTATGATCATTGTATTTTGGAAGATTGCTAATTATTATTATTTTGTTTAAGTTCTAGAAAAACGAAAAAGTGAATGCCCAAAAATTAATGATGGTGCTAGTACATCTGGAACTAATGTTCGTTCAGCAGTTAATCAAGAAGCTTGTAAATCGTCAAATAATAAGCAAGATAAAAAAAAAACTCGAAGTGGAACTAAATCAAGTTCTAATAATAATCCTTCAAATTCTAATGCGAAGGGTACTCCATTGACACCAGAACAAATAGCTCTTGAGCAAATACATTGGGTAAATAAAATGTATGCTATTCAAATGGCAGAATATTGGAAAACGTAAGTGTACATACTAATTTGGTATAAATAAGGATTTTTTTAATAAATCTATTATAAAATTAATAGTATAATTTATAAATGCTTATTTATATAGCAATTATTAATAATTAAATTTTTTTATAGTGTGGTATCAAGTTTGGAAGATACTTTACCGTCGAATACTCAAAATATTAACAACGAACCACCTCGCGATTTAACTAATAATGGTAATAAATATTTATAGTAATAAGTAGGGCTCGGATTTCAATGTGTTTGCATCTTTTTTTTGGAATATCTTACTCAATGCTTTCCAATTTACAAATATATTTCATGTACTCCATATTGTAATTAAACAATTTTTTTGGGCATTTCAGTTTTTAACACATTTTAAGACATTTTTGAGTTTTTGACGTATTTCTCATGCAATAACTAAATAAATTGACTTCAAAATATAAACATAGTACATATGTTATAAATCATTTTTATTTTTAGCAATTTAACAACAGGTTCTCTGGTTTTAAATTAGACAAGGCAACTTCTATTGGAGTATTTTCTTATCAAGTGATAATATTATATTGGTGGTGTGTGTGGCCAAGGTTGGACACTTTTAGTCCGTTAATTTATTTAAAGGGCGTTTTTAGAGTTTTTATGTCATAAATGAATTTTTTATATTTTTAGAGCATTTAAATCCGAGCCTTAGTAATATGATTAACAATTTCATACATATTATAAGATACACAACATAAAATTATGTATTAATATTTAACTAAATATTAGAGAACAATAACCAACAAGCTGAGCAAAATGTTGCACCTGATAATAATGCAAATAGAAATGTACGAGAATTTGGACAACATCATGATTGGTTAGATTGGTTGTATGTAACCAGTAGATTATTGATTTTCATTAGTGTACTCTATTTTTATTCATCTCCTGGCCGTTTTATCATTGTTGCTTGCTTTGCACTTCTATTATATCTGTAAGTTTTTTAATTAAAATCATTAATATAAATTAAAAATATAATTAAGTTTTTATAATAATATAAAAATTAATTAATTTTATTTGATTTAAAATTTAAATCGATAAATTTGTATTTGAACTATTAAATTGGTTGAATTACTAATCATATAAATTGATATTATTTAAAAAATTATTTATAGGTACCAAACTGGATATTTTAGACAGTTTCATGAAAGAAGGAGACTTCAGCCACCTGAATCACAAGATCGAAATGGAAATGTTAATGATCCTACAGCTGTAAGGCAAAATGAACCTTTATTTTCATTTTTATGGACTGTAATTATTACATTTTTTACTTCTCTCATTCCACAACAACCAGATGTAATATAAACAAATTCAATTGTATATAATATAATATATTTAGTACTTTTATTTAGTTTTTAATATTCTATAAATTATAAAAGCTTTATGTTGTATTGTTTTAGTTTTATTGATAAATTTAAATATTTTGTTTCATAATTATTAAGTTTAATCATAATAATATATTTAATTAATAGTGTTACTTATACAATTAAAGGAAACACATTATATTATATCTCAATATTTGCACTGATAAAAATGTTTCAATTCCATTATCTATACTAAGTTTAAAAAAATGACAAAAAAAGTAAAGGTTTAGGTAATTCAAAACACGTTATTATTCAATGAACTTGAAATTATTGTCAATTAAGAGGACATATTTCTTCCATTTACTATCTCAGTCCATCAACGAACAATAGAACAAAATCATATAAATTAGAATTAAAATTATTTAGTTGAAATTAAAAATTTCAAAGTTCAGTAACAAAACTGAAATAGTAGAATATTATCAATGACATTATGTTTGACAGTATTTTATAAAAAAGGTTGTTGACTTGTTAGTTTTTATTTTTATAAAACAACCACAGATTTTTTTGTTTAGTATTATTTTGGGAAAAAACATAGTGCCCTCTAAAATATGTTCTTTGTTATTTGTGTTAATTCTTAATTATAACCTAAAGAACACAATTTTATTTCTTTGTTATGTGATCTTATTATGTTGCCTATTATTGGATTAAGGCAGTGTAAGTGCGGGAATTACGTCTTACTAATTGTGTAATTTAAGATTTGTTTTTGTTTCCATAATATAATCTTAGTAAAATAAAAATCATTAAACTAAATATGTTACGTTAATTTATTTTAATATAGATATTATCCTCTGTCTCAAAAAAGAATAATCAGTTGCCAAACCAATTTCCATGAATGTTGCATATCTCCCACCTACGACCTGTATTGATTTCGCAAATTACTAATAAGCCGTAAAAGTCTATTAACAAAGTAGGGGGAAATTTGGTATCAGCACTTCCGCAGAAATCAGTTGCTAGAACTACAAAAAGTGTACATTTTGTAAAAGTGTCTCATTTGAGACAGAATATAGTTATATAGGTATTATTTTAGTGTATAATTTAATAAACTACTATTATATGGTTGTTATCTCAAATTTACTGATAATTTAGAAAACATAATGATTTTTATGATTCATTCAAATGAAACTTGGTATATATAATTAATTCTGTTTATTCTTCTCTTTTGCCCATCTATTTGGAGTTAATAACCTTGGTCCAAAATTTACATTTGACTCGTGTTTCCCATATCACCATTGCCTTACAAATTCTCATATCACTGTGATAATCAATAGTGATAATTTTTTTTTGTGAATTCAGGGAATTAGAGTGAAATATTTTTTTGAGAACTAAATTTTTGTTGAGTCAAACTATTATTGACTCCCTGTAAAAACTAACTACAAACATGTTAAATGGTTATAATATAAAATATACAAATAAACACATACATTATATAATTATCAAAATTATATATTAATTTAAAGTTACAATAAATGGTTTGAATACATTTGAGATTTTATTGTTTAATTAAATATTAAAGATGATATACCTGTTTTTACTGTTTCAGTCTAACCATTAGATTTTTTTTTTTAATAGTTAAATCTTTTGTTTGACAACAGAAAATAACCTAGAGATATCTACAAAAAAATTCTTCTCATTACATTTTATCTGTGTTTAAGCTTTAATTTTAAACTAAATGTCACAATTTTAATTATAAGTTACATAATTTTGCTATATTGCCTGATTAGTTAAGAATATTCTTCTCTTGCCTTCATGATACAATATTTTGAATCAGTCACTTTCTATATAAACTTCCACTTGACCCAATCTCTCACATCATATATACTCGCTGTCCTAAATTTATCATTCTCAATCGCATCTAACCAACTCTGTTTTAGTCTTCCACTTCTCTTTTAAGTTTATTTTCATTACAATTTTTACTGATTCAGATTCCTTTCTCCCCATGACATGCCCAAACTTTCTCCGTCTGTTTTCTATAATTTTGTCTACTATTGAAGCTACCACTATCTGAGGTACCTATTATGTACTCATCCCTTATTCTATCTTTTCTAGTCACTCCACTTATCCACTAAAGTATTCCCATCTTTGTTACACTCATACTCTATTCTATTTTTTTGTTTACCACCCAGCACTTCAAATAATACAACATAAGTCAGTCTCACCATACTTTTGTAGAACTTAAATTTTCTCATAGACCTGTTAGACTAAAACAGTAAATGTCATCTCAACATCCAAAGTATTTATTATTTGGTTAATACATTAATAAAAAATACAATAATCAACAGTTAAAACCAGAAATTCAGGTAAACAATAGAAAAAGATTAATTGTTTTAATGTTCTACAGAATTACAAAAAAATATTTAAAAAAATGTCTAGTTTTTCACATAGATAAAATAATGATATTAAAAAAAATAATAATAATAATAATGTCACTTAAACATTAATAAAATAATATAAATAGTTCATTGTTTTAAAATTTAATACATATCCATACGAAAGAATATCTTAATTTTAATTTTTAAAAGCCTTTCTAAAAATATTAAGAATAAAAATTAATATGACCCATCTATGATTCTAATTTTATTTCGACATTTTTAAGATTAATTTCAAATGGATATGAAACGACAAATCTTTGGGACACAACCATCATTATGGTGTATTGATTGAAATCATCTTCAAATAAAACTTCATACCCATCATAACTTGTTTTAGGTGGGGCTTTCACTAGAGCTTTGAAGAAACAAGTGGTTTGTGGATACATAGCCAAAACTATAAAAATAATTTATACACAATTTATAAACATTTTAATTTAAATCTATACGTTAAATCACTAGTCATCAAATAGGTTTAATTATTATTGGTATACTCATGTATACATGTTTCTTATTCAAACTAAATTAATAATTATTGATTGAATGAATGTAAGTCCTAAGAGGTGGCACACGAGGCACAGGTTTGGTCGATTTTAATTTTACTATTACTAACATACTAACCAAATGTATTACAGCTAAATAAAGCATCTGGACAAATTATTGGATTAGCTCTCATCAAGGGTAATGGTTTGACATATTTTTTTTCCAATGTAAAATTACGATTTACTTCTTTTACATCAATATCTTCTACTTCATACTTCCCATTTTTAAATTCAACTGCTTCAGCTACAATCCACCTCTCTTCTCCAGACTGTTTAACAAGTGCTGTCACTAAATCACCACTCTACAAAATACTTATTATATAAATAAATATTTATAAATATTAATTAAACTTACTTTTGCAACATATGAAGGAAGTGGCTCAATTGCACCACACAATGGTGGTGGCTGTTCGTCGTTCTTTGGAAACCATACTGGCATCCTTGTAGCAGTTATTTGTAATAGTTTAAGAAATGTTGAACTTCTTTGAGACTGCAGAAGTGACTAGCAATATAAATTACACTTTATTAATAGTTTAAATTAAGGTAAAATATATTGTACTTTAACTTTTTGATGGCGTATGTTTCGAATTTCATATATGGATTCTAATGCTTTTCTAATGATCTCTTCTTGTTTAGCAGCTTCTTGTTCAGCTGTTTCATAATAACTTATTAATGATTTCTATGAATAAAATAAAATTTAAATTATATTTTATTAAAATGACAAAAACCTAAAGTATACTTGCGACTCTGGATCAATCATGCCTTTCTTAATAACTTGATCTTGAGTATTATTAATTTTATCAATTAAAACCTTATTAGTATTTAGAGTATGTGATATCTCAAATAACTGTTCAAATAACTCAGCAATAGCAGTCTAAACAAAATAAAAGTGTTTCATTAAATTAAATACATCTACCTATTTATATTAATTTTAATTTTAAACTATATAGTATTATACAAATATTTGATTATGACTTTATTTATACAATTTAACTATGACAGAATGATTTCATAATTATTTATTATTATAATTGAGGTTGTCATTCCTTATTTATTAATTTTTTTTGTAAGAGAGTAAAAATTGCATTTCACATTTCAAATTATAACCACGAGTATATACTTAATATTTATTATATACACTGTACATATGAATTACAATAAGAATAAATTTATATCTGTAAAGAAATATTACTTGTTCGTCTGAATTTTCTTTAATAGTTTCATTTTGCGATTTTGCCATTGCAATAATACTTTATTTCTGGTATTATTTCTATAAATAAAAAATTAGCTCATTATTATTATAATGTACAAATATGTTTTTGGGTTTCTGTTTTGTTTTTTTAGTTACAATATTATTATAAATTAAATGGGTGCCTACTCACCACATAATACTGAAATATTCCAAAATGTATAATACAATTGCAATTATCTACACGAGTCTTACGACTGTTAATGAAAAACAACTGGAATAGCATATTTTATAGATCTTTTTATTTACAAATCAATAAATACTTTTAAAACCTATGGGTAAATCATTAAATTAATAATAGTTAATAAATAATGACTTAATTTTATACGAAAATAGCAGTTAGACTTATAAAATTTAAAAACTAAGCCAAATAAAGACTGGCATTAACAAGACTCGAAGTCCTGTGTCCTGTCACTTGTCAGTCCTGACAATCGTTTAACTTCGCATTCGAAATATTGATTCGTTGTATTAGTGATAACGATTTATCAGGGAGATTTTATATGTTATATTAATAAAAAATAAATTATGTAGTTGCCATCATATTAAACTTATATAGATACTAACAAGGTGGATCCACCTTGGATACTAAATACTAATTCTCCTTATTCTATGTTAATATCACAGATTGATACATGTAAGATTATTATATTATATGTTTCTATGACCACGGATTAAGTTAATATACAATTTGTATATTATGCTATATTAGTGATAACGATGTTCCAAGGAGATTACACATATCGGTGATGTCCCTATATTTATTTATTTATTTATTTACCTTATTACCAATGTAGATTTTTTAAGTTTTGAATCTTAATAAAAGTAAGCATATTTAATATAATTGTTATCATATTATGATGTGCATGAGATATAAAATGTATAATAACATTATTTTAGTGATAAAAAATCAATATAATTTAAATAAACCTATAAATATAATTTGGTGGAAAATTATTTATTTCTATGCCAATAATGTGTAGGTTTTTTACTATTTTTAAATCTACAAGTTATAATTAATAAGTTCAATATAATGCCTATGTTATGATAAGTTAAACTATCAGTTATATAACTTAATGAAACAATATTTTTTCTAAATCAATTGCAGTATAACCACCAGGTACAAACTTTGTAGTCTCATATGAAGCAGAAGGATAATTTATTAATAGTTTTAATATTCTCAACTGTATTATTATATTATGAATATTTCAAAAACATGCGGTTTGTGTTGAACTACAATATTACGATATGCAAATAAACACAGAATAGGTATACAGACAAACCTTTCGAACATCATACACTATCATATACATATTACTCTTTAATTAACAAATACTTGTAGGTACATAAATAAAACAAAAGAGGCAGGTACCAACATAATTGGGATCTAGAACGTCTTGTCGAAAGACGCTTCGGTAAATGACATTTTGGCGAATCGTTTTCGGCTAACGGGTATTTCGGTATAATAATAATAAAAAAAAAAAAACCGCTAATATATGTCAATATAATAATGATAATAATAATATGTGCCTGTCTATATAAGTAATACGAGTAATAGCTAAGTATAATATACGAGTCAATAAATACATAAATAGTCATGTGTCGAGTCAGTGTGTAATGTGTATACACTGTGAAAAAAAATGTATATTTAATACTAATAAACATTAAAAATCAATGTTGTAAGAAAAATTATTTAGATAACTTGGATAACTTATTATGTTCTGATTTGAATAATTTTCTACTTTTTAATATTATATCAATTTTATCTTAAAAGCGCTAGCTGTTTTACCAAACAGTGAGAACCGGGCGGATTGGAAAAATTGACAAAACATTGATAAGACCTTTCCGTTCGGTATAATTCGTGTCTATTACCGAAAAATCGGGCTGTATCAAACAAAAATCCAAGTTATGGAAATTACCAACTCACAGATGGTGGGGGAATGGTAAACCTCTACAAAAGTAGGTAATCTCCTACATTGACATAGTGTTAACTTCTACAAAATGTAGTGTTAACTTTTACACTAAATAGTTGTAAAGTTGTAAAAAGTAAAGTAAATGGTACCTATTTTAAAATAAATAAAAATCAGTCATGAACTATACAAATAATAGGTAGAGATTGCTGTATTTCCAATTTACGAAAATAACGTTGACGTTATCGAAATGTTTGAGAATTTCCGATACGATGCCTTACGATGTTTACTAAATTGTATTTTTCATTTTATTATCTTACATTCGCCAAGTCTTTACGAAGTACGAATATTTATACAAAATGCAAAAAAAAAGGTATCTTATCATTTTTCCACTAGAGAACTATTTCTGGTTTAAAACGTTGTGTGTATTTATTTAAAATAATGAAATCGTAAAATTATACGTTTTTTCCCACATAAGTGCAACTATCTCAAATAAACATTACTGTAAAACCATTATACATTCCTCGCTACATTCAGAATCTAAAATATAAAAAGGTCTGTGTAGGAGATCACACCATCTATTTTTGGCAGGTAAAAAGGGACTATCTAGGAGTGTACACTGTGTTTTAAATTCAGGTAAAAATGTGATTATTGTAGGTGTTTACATGTAGCCCAGATTGTTAAGGTCTGGATTTACAATTATCATAAAATATTAAGAAAATAAAATGAATAATAAATTAATATAAAAGAAAACATCGTTGCCTGTAATTAATATTACCTACCTCCGTATTAGATTGTTTATTTGGTTTACGGCATCTACGTTCAACGGTAACCGCGGTGTCAGGCTGGCGCCGTCAGTCTGGCCAATCAACACGATACGTTTGGGTCTATTTATACGATGTCACGGCGCGTTTCCAGAGTCCGCGTTTTTCCGATCGGCTTATCGAGTCGTGGGTAAGACTGTATGTACCAAGAAAGTCAGTGCGTCTCTTCGGCCGAATTCGTGTACGTATTTCGGTCGCCGCGATCGAGTTCGTCGTAATTTTTCACATTTGACACGTCCACATTAACCGGCAGTAATACCAAATAATCGTTTTTAAGTTTTGCTAAATTTTAACCGTTCCGATTGCGAAATACTCATACGCGCCGCCGCCGTCGCGCACCCGATGCTTTTCTTGTGCGCGTACCGAACGTATCTGCCATTCAATGTTTTTCGTCGGCACGCCGGTTGAATTCTGGCTATTTCGGGTGATGTGTGCAAATGTCGAATAACATCATCACACGAAAAGTTTGTTCAGGTACCTGTTAACCTACCCAGATAATTATTAGAGTGATCGTATTTTACATTTTCGGACCGTTTTTCAAAAATGTGAAATACCAAGTACTAAGTACGTACTGCAGCAACGTAAACCTACCTACCTACCTGGGTTTTAGTAGACCTAAAAATAACTTAAGGTGCACAAATATAAGAATTCTAATTTCCTGTAGCTTGTACGATTTTTGTTTTTACAGCGGTTTTACAAACGGTCGACTGCAGTGCTTCAGCCAAGGGGCAGCACGTGTCCTCCACAAAATCGTTTGTTTTATCGGTTATTTCATTGTAGTATACCATTCTAAAAAAAAAAAGAAACAAAAAAATAGGTAATACTACAAACTATTCGTGTCCGGGGGACGGAAACTGGTCCAACTGTTTCACGGTTTGCGTTCGCAATGTTAACCGTTTTCCACGGATGAACCGCACGATTGACCCTCGACCGACGACGGGCCTTGTGTCCAAGGGTACCCATGGAAATATAAACCGGGGGGGGGGGTCAAAGTCAAAAGTTTTTTTCACAACTTTTTTTACAACTTACAAGTAATCATGGCTTAAATATTTAAACCATGCAAATAATAAAACAATTAATATAATAATATAGGTGCAGTATATTAATGATTTGTACACACTTAAACGTGGTAATCAAACTGGAATGATTTTGTTTATCCTATTATCAGGACGTCACTGACTGCAAATTATTCGATCTTTACTAGATTTTACAACGTTTTCTTAAGATGTGTCAGAGTTTTCAGAAATTAACCTACTTTCCCCTTTCTATGAAATACTTATGGTGAGTAATGCTTAACATTTTTCTAATAGGTACTTCAAAGTACCTGCAAAACTCTAAATATTCTTTTCTAGCTGCTTCAGCAACTGTACTCTGTTAGTAAAATTTACAAAAAAAAAACATTAAATGCGTTTTTGGAAGACTGTCTGGGTGTTTTTCAACTAAACCTTTTTTTTTGATAGTAGTCTAATATCTTTAAGTAACTTTATATAGTGTGATTTTATAGTTCTTCAGATTTAAAAAAAAAATCATAATATTGAATATGTTATATGAACGTATTGTTGAAATTATATGGAGCAAGCCTTATTGGTAGTGATGTAAATCAGAAATAATAATATTACTTAGGTAAATTAAGTAATTTATCGGGATTTTATAAATATAAATTACTATGTCATTTCACGAGTAGGTAATATATTTTTTCATTATTATTTTATTCAAATAACCAATAAGTAATTGTTAATTATTCTTAATTCTTGGCAAGTAAATAAATTACTATGTGTACAGAGTGATTTTATTTTTGGAACATGAACCAACAATAATCATTTCGAAGGATTTTAAATGAATTTGATTTCTATTTTTTTTTTTAATCATAATGAAACTTTTTAAGGTTGATTATAAGAGTATAATACTACTGTAGTATACTGTATACTATATAGGACACTCTGTATTTTGGTAATACTCGGTACCATTTTAAACAAAAAAAAATATATATAATAATAATATATAGAGCTAAATACAGTTAATTCTGTCTTGCATGGCCCCAACTCCCAACTGGGAGCACATCCGTGTCTAGGTATAATCGTATTCAGTGACAGCGCTAGGTTTTACGGGGCCCTGGACAATGCTTCAGTACAGTGGTTGCCAACTTTTTTTTACAGAGGGCCATAAAAAATAACAATAATTCCTGGCGGACCAAGAACTTTAACGTTTATTTTTAAGTTAATAGAATATTATAGTTTATTGTAAATACATCTTAATAAAGGTACAGTGATATATTTAATTATTTATTACGTTTAGTTGTTGTTAAATGAGAAAAAAAAGTGGAGTATAATAATGTCTTTTTTTTTCCATGTGTATTAATTTTTAAAATTTTTAAGTTTTTCTTAAGTTAATTTTTTTTCAATTTTGATTTAATAATACTTCGGTCGGCCGATTAATGAATGATTGCTGTCTGGATTTGGCCCGCGGTAGTTGGTCACCACTGCTTTAGTATAACTAATGATTGTATACCTACCTATCAATACATAGTATACAATGAAGTAGCTTTTTTTTGTCCGGTATAAACTCCGAAACGGCTTAATGGATTTCGATGTGGTTTACACTGTTGGATAGACAATTAACCGAGGAAGGTTTACAGCTATTGACATCCATTTCCTATTGAAAACCATCCCCCAAAATTCGGTTTTTTAAGTACTATTATTAATTATTATTTTTATTTATTTATTTGGA